AATCCAAATTACTTACTGAATACTTCTATTGACACTATGAACCACTTGTTGAGTCAAAGACTGCCAGTTTTCTCTTCGTCCTTGAGAAAGCATTTTTTTTTTTTAGGTCAACATTTTGAGTCAACAAGTGCTGGTTGGATTATTGTTTTGGATATACTTTATTTAGAGGTCTTGTGGATTTCTGAGAGTACCCTTCTCAGGATTTCTTCTTACAAGCTGTTCTTTTGATTAATTTGGGATCCTGAGTAAATGAAGGATTGCACATATTTAAATCTATACTGCTGTATGACTTTCATCATCTTCACTGGTAATTAGTTGCAGACTCCTCCAATGCCTGAAAAGCTTCCCACACAGTGTTTTTACGGTCCTTCCTGCATGATTCAAATTTAAAATCTGGACTTTCTTGGTAAGAAGTGTTATTGTTTCTTAAATACATGCCTTTGTAATGGTTTTTTGAGGCAAAATTTAAATGTTAGAGAGGCCCGGCATCCTATCATACATCTGTTCCTGTTGTGACAAAGCATATATTCATTCATTATTATAAACAGAACCAATTTGGGTGGTAAATTCATTTTCATGATTGCCTTATATGCTTCTTCTCTGATCACAATGTCACATGTGATGATTAGGTATCTGGTATTCCTTTGCCTTTTCCAACAGAAGTCACAGAATAAAACTATGATTTGAGATTGAACTCTTTCTTCAGAATTCAAATTGATATTTCTTTAGCTTTCATTCAGCAATGGAAGCAATCTATTAAAAATAATGATCAACCATATTGATAATAGAAGCAGAAATATCTTTATAATTATTACACAAACTATGTCTTCTTATTTATAGCACAACATTCCTGGCTTACATAGAAGTCTTAGGCAGCTGATCCTTTCATGTTGAAACACTGGACATTGCTCCTTATTGCTTGCTAGCTCCTCTCGCATGGTAGGAAATCGGCATTAAAAATAAATTTAGTTCTGCACACTATTACGGTCTTCATTTTTGATCTGAAATGTTTAATTATATTTAAGAAATATGTTTACATGTTTATTTTAATTGATTATAATATAGTGTTGCAAAAATAAGTCTCAAGCTCCGATTAGAGTCGTAAAGGCTCGAGTCCTGAAGCTCAGCACTAGAGCCTTTGGACCTCGAACTTCCAAGACTTGAGCTTAGGCTCGTAGGGTTCAAGCCTTGTTGAATTTATCTTTAAAAAAATTAATTAAAATTAAAACCTGTCCCTCGCCTATTCTCAAATCCTTAACCCATTAAAACAACAATAATTTCCCACTTCCTTCACATTTCCTCATACTTCATTCTTTACAAAAATTGAAAAATATATTTACAATATACAGACAACTCCTTATACATTCATCTTCAAAACCGGATCTCTTTCACCAATTTCCAATTCCCTGCACCTTAGCTAACATTTACAGATACTTGTGAATACCCAACAACATTCGACAATATACAGACACCTACTTTCACAACCCTTTAATCTCTTCTACCTGTCAATTGCCTGTTACCTGATCCGACACCAGACAACTTTCAACAGTGCTTCACTGAATGCTATATTTTTGACTTTTATTATTATTATTAATATTCCTACTAATTATTACCCTTAATATACCCCAGCTATCCTAATAATCCATTACCTTTCCCAATTGAACTGAATGTCAATAGTCATCTATATATACTGTAACTTTCTATGATTAATGTATACTGTTTATATATAATTAAAAAACTAATATATATATTGTTTGTATCTTATACAGCCCTTAAGAAGACCAACAACGTAGGTCGAAACATTGGACAATGTAATAAAATATACAATTATATAATATAGTATTTTTTTACAGCACCCCCGACTAACTACTTCTTAAATTATTGTACATTTTCGTAAACAAATATATATTTTTTTTGTTGGTTGTAACAATGTGAATATATTTCCGAAATAATATGTGAATATGTTTTTGAAATATAATGTAAATAAATGGATTGGAAAAAATAAGTAAGGTTCCAGCCACGACTCGAGCCTTTTACTACCGAGCTTTAAAGACTGGAGCCTTTTCAGCTCAAGCATAAAGGGCCCTTTATACGGCCAATATTATTGAGTCAATATCGAGTACATGTCCTATGTACTCAAATCTACATAAGGGCTACATTGGCATCAATTATATTGATGTCAATCAAACTGGTTGATATCAATTTTTATTGAAGCTCCTTCAATATTACTGAAACAGTGCCATTATAATTACACGTGTGAGGGCTATATAGAGGAATATTAAACCATACATACGGATCTTGAGAAGCTCTGGGCGATACCAAATTTTTAGTGTCCCTCTTGGAGGATCCTCCCTCCCGAAATTTGTTTAAAAGTTATACATATAATGGCAATATGTATGGGTAGGTAGGTATTACCCTATTGCATAAATTGTAAAACAGTTTAAAAGGCATTTTAATAGACGTATAGAGAAAAACAAGTAAGGTTCGAGCTGCAACTCGAGCCTTTTACTGCCGAGCTATAAGGACTCGAGTCTTGGCCGAGTTGGAAAAGCTCGAGCCTTTTCGGCTCAAGCCTTATACCTTATAGCCTTCTGACCGAGGTCTTTTACAACACTATTATAATATAATGATGATGTCTTTAATATTGCAATGAAATTATATAGCCTTTATTTATGCAAAGATTAATACATCAGGCATTTAAATAAATGTATTCTTTATGTTTAAAAAGAAATTGGATCCTCTCTTGAGATTCTGACCAAGCTTGGCATCCTTAGTAACCATTGGACTAATGCAACTGTCGAAGACCTATTCTTTCACACTTAACAGGTGTTAATAAAGGAATAAACTGTTAAAACTTATTATTGAAGAGAAGTTAGTTGAGGATTGGAATACATAAAAATAAATTATATTTGTTATCTTTGTGCTCATATTTTGGCCTTCATCAGGGCTAAGCAAAGACCAGGTAAATACTGAGAAAATAGTGGGCAGTAATAATAATAATAATATGATTTGTTATTTCATAAGTATATAAGTTCCTAACTGTTATTTTATATATTCTAACTTTTATACTGTTATTTTATAAGTCCCAGCTTTATTACAGTTACTTTATAACTTCCTAAATTTATATATCATATATTTCCCATTACACATATTATTTTATGTATTAGTATATATCATTAAGTTTAAATACCTATATATATATATATATATATATACATACATTATTTATTAAATTTAAGTTTAAATACTTACATGATATTTATTCATGTTTTTTCTTAAAATTCCGAAGATTCGTTTTCAATCTGGATTAACATTTTTCTTTTTTTCTCCTTTATTCCGTTATCAAAATCTTTCTAAAGTTTTATTTAGCCTTTTTTTCATAACTCCTAACAACGAGAGATAGTTAATTATTTAAAATAACCCAAATTAAAGGTACTTAATACTGGGACTGAAGGAGGGAAGAACTGGGCACATCTTGTTCTTTTTACCAACATCTGGTGTTTACTTGGAGGTTGCTTCCCTACAGAGAAAAAGAGCTGAGAAATAAATATTAACTGGCCCAGATGGAATTCAAACCCAAAACATTCCAAATGAGGCACTTTGAACCCTCTCCCCATTCAACCATCACAGGTTCACCAAGAAGTTAGTCTCCAATATCACTTCCTCACAAGCTTAATATAATTTTTCTAAATTGGAAAATGAGATTTGCATTAACTTAGTTATTATTAATTCTCTTAGTGGAACCACTTTGCTGACTTCCCATCTAAAAAAAATTCATAGAAGGCTACGGTTTAAAAAGAAAATGAAAACTAAAAAATAAGTATTTTATTAATATAATTTACATTCATACAAAATACTTTCAGATAGTTTTTGTAGTATTAGATTATAGTATAGAGCTTATACTAATGTAGATATTGCATGGACTTACTGAAAAATCAATGTAAATTAATCCACTTAACTCTTACACCAGAGGTTGTGCAAAAAACTCTCTTAATTCAATAGAATGGAGAGGTGATAAAAAGAAGGTAGATTCGAAGTTCTGTACAGCACTCATTCCACACCGAAAATAGGATGTATTGTCTTGAAAATAGTAGAACAAGATCTGATAAGAGTTTTTGGATATTCATTCAAGCAGTCAGAAACAAAATTAAAAAAAAAAAAAAAACAAGTGAACATACTGCAACTGTTTTAACACGCTATAAGAACACCACACACTTGTTTTATTGTAGATATACTTCCAAAGTAAAATCATACTGTATTTTGTCATTAGTATGAAAAATAATGGTAGCTATTTAAAACAGAAACCTCCATGTATCAACAAAAGTCATATCCATACTTTTAACACCTCTCATTCCATAATAGCTAAACAAAACCGAGGACATTTTACAATATCCTTCATCAAGCTAATAAATAATAAATAACTACATAAGTCTATGACTATTCTGCACACAAAAAAGAAGCACATTATTTTTCAATAAGCCCATGAATCTATAAAATGCTAACAGTGAAATTCATCGATACAATGATAAATGCAAAACAGGTGATGTACAAGATATACATATATTATCATTTCAGGAATTAATTATTATAGTGGCAAATATTGGGTGCCATAATAATTAGCTTATCTAAACACCAACCACTAAATTCAATATCACCTAAGTACACATTTCTAAATGTGAGAATAACATCAAGTCACACAGTAACATAGCGCTATGCCACAAATTACAATATTTATTCCAATATAAACAGTTTCCAAATTAAATTTGTTTATAGTGTAATGAAACCATTTATAAAGGGGGATGGGATAAATAAACATGTATGTTCCAGTTTTCAAATAAACATTTACTATGATAAAATTACTAAAAATGTTTAAAGCATTTTATAATCTATTACTAAAATTGAATTCAACCGCAATGAACCATTGTTTAAATTATTCCAAAAATTAAGTAAGTATTAAACGTATTAGAACACATAAATAAAAATTCCTTTTTTTTTTTTTTAAACTTAATTCATGAAGTTAAGACATTCAATTAATTAGTCGAAATTTTGATAATACGTGAAGAAAATAATTTAATGATATTTTCAAAAGAAATAAATTCAAATTAAAAATTGATTTGGCACTAGATAGGAGAAAATAATTCTCAAATCGTTTTCGGCATTATTAAAGAAACTTATTACATGAAAGATCACAAATATTCTTGGACTAACAACAAACAAAAAACTAACACATTATGTCTTATGTCTTTACAGTTAAGTCAGTCTTTAAGCTCACTCAGGGCATCTCAGACAAAAAAGGGGAAGGCAGGCATGGAAAAGGGGACACGGTGCCTATTCTAAAAGAACGCTTTATAATTCATCATCGAAACGGACGTCAGAGAGATCAATGTCTTCATCTTGAGGTGGAACACCATCTTTGCCATCCCAAGGTTCTGATGATACGACTGAAGGTAATGAAGAGCCTTTAACCGGACCTGTACTTCCACGTCCGTAAGAGAGATCCCTAAAAGAAATATTAGTTTTAAATAAATAACTAATTTAACTGAAATTATTATATTTTGAAATTAAAAATATAATATAACAAATAAATTCATAATCTGCTAATAACTTGAAAAGTACATAATTTTTGGTATATTATACATTAGTATTTAAAAGCTTACTAAATTCCCTACAAAAGGTAAAAAAAAAAGCATCAAAATCAGACAATTTGGTGCTAAGTTTTCTTAACATTCAGTATTTGTTGTATTGCAAAGATTCTATTGCATATGGGAATTGGCCCTTTCAAGCCGGGTAAAGTATGTAATGCATCAATTAGTAATTGTTTTTTAAATTTCAAAACATTTTATTCTTTTAATTAATTAACATTTTAATTTAATTATATTTCCATCATTTTTTTTTTTTTTTTTTTAATGATTATGCAACATAGATCATGATTGCACTAACTATTTCTCCCTGAGAATTTGAGCCTTTTGTCTTTAGCCGTTATCAGAGATTTAAAGCAATGTTTAGAAGGCTTTTGTTAATTTATGATAAAATAATGAAAGAAAAAAGTAATATTTAAATTATAAGTTTATGGAAACGCAATGGTTAAACCATGGCAGATTGTAAATCATATTTATAACTGATGGCTTCGTAAATTTATGTATTGAACCTATGCGTATCAAACATTGTTGAATGGAAGTTGTACTGAGCCCTTAATGTATTAAAATCAGATATAAATATTAGGTTTGTGAGGCGTATTCGCACAAGCGAGCTAGTATTCAACTTAATTTTACTAATTTTTGAAACCTAAATAATTAAATATTAATTCGTTTTAGCACATGAAAACGTTTGGAAGCTGCGACCATATTATATGGCCTCGAGGCCGCAGGTTCTCCGCACGTGCTCCAGAACATCAAGGAACACACACAGCCTGTGAGATTCGCTTCATGCCTTACAGAATTTTTAAAATGTAGAGAAAAAGAGACAACACCAAAAGGGTGAAGATTGTATCATTTTCTTCCTTATAATTATTTACTTGAAGAAAATGTAAATAATCTAATTATATCTCTAACTACATGGCAATGATTATTTCTTGTTATTAATCAAAGTTTTTTTTTTTTTTTGTTTAATACACAATATTGTCTTCCAAATGAGTGTCAAGAACGTTTCAAGAGATGCAAAGTTCTGAATTATTTGAAGAACTAAAAAGAGATGAAATGGTCTCAATAGTAATATGGACAGAATACTTATGAAAATGATTATATAAGGAATTTACTATCAAATTTATACTTTATAATTTATAGCTAAATAAAATAACTGTAAAAATATTACCTTAAAAATTCATTAATTCCATCACTCGAAAAGGATCCACGTAGTATAGAATATTTCATCTTCTTTGCATTAATGACGGCCATAGCTGGGTATCCAAATCCTCCTATCTCTAATGCTTGCTCAAGATCTGGCTGAGCACCTGCCTCAGACCATACCCATCTAAAATAGAAGAAAACAAACTACTTAGAAAAAGAGAAACATAACAATAAATACACTTATTAATTGTATCTTGTGAGCTTATTCTATAAATATTTTAATATAAAGAAATCCTAGTTTATAAAATTATCTGACATGTTTGTAGCATGTTATATAAAAACATTTTAAACCACATTGCACGTATATCAGAGGGCATTAAACCAATTTTAAGAACATAAACTATGAAGTTTTCGTCACGCACGTTTAAAAACCTGTCTTTAGACGTCCTCCCGTTCCTAGGATCAATACAGAAATAAGAGAACTAATGAGGAGAAGAGAAATTGCTAGGAGACAATATAGACGTACTAGACTACCTCAGCATTATTCCACATTTAAATCCCTACGAAATCTCACACAAATGACCCTACGTCGCACCAAAGCACAATGCTTTAATAACATTTTATCCTAAGAACCTAAAACTAAATTCAAACGGAAAATCCTTAAGAACCTCTCTGTTGTTACCTCGAAAACCTGTGCACAATATCCAGTAGATCCGAACACGCTAAATTCTTTTTTCACTAACCATTTTCCATCTGACCGCTCATCTTTTTCCATTACTGAAACCCCTTTCGATCCTGATAAGTTTTATTTTCTTGATATCTCTCCTACTGACCTACACTCTGCCACCTTAAATCAAAAACGAACGATTATGGTCCTGACCAAATACCAGTTAAAGTTATCTAACTCTGCCTTCTACACATACATAATTTCTCTCTCAAAAATTACATTTTTTCCAAATCCTGGAAAAGAGCCATAGTCCGTCCACTGAACAAAGTTCCAACTCCTTCATCAGCTTCTGACTTCATACCCATCTCCATTTTATCCAATCTATCTAAGCCTCTAGAAAGATTAGTTCACTCTCAGTTGAACAGGTTTCTCGAGCAAAACCATCTCCTCAATCCTTTACAATACGGTTCCCGTTCCCATTATTCCACCCTATCTACCTTGCTAAGGATTACCTAAGACCTCCAATCCGACATAGATAAACAGAAAATCTCCATCCTAATTCTTTTTGACTTTTCCAAAGCGTTTGATTCCGTTAAGCACGAGATCCTTCTTTCCAAACTCCAAAGCCTGCCCATATCAAATAGCGCCCTAAAATGGTTCCTCTCCTTCTTATCGTTGTAATATTTTTTCATTATTTATGTATGTTTTGGTCTATTTAACATATATCTTGTAAAATAAAAGTATTTTTTTATTATTACAGTTGTTTTTGTTTACAATTTCAATAATACGAATATAATACAATAAATATTCTAATTTTATTAGAATACGATGATTATGAATTTTTTTGAACTTACCCCCATAACTTTTGCTTGAATTTGTCACCCATCTCTTTCAAAATTTTCAAATAGCCATTCCTACAATCAGCTTGGCAATCCAGAATGTGAGGAAGGACAGAAATGACACACAGAGGATGATCTTCGCAAGCTGTCTTCAAAGTTTTTTCGTCTAAAATCTGCAAAGTACAACAACATAATTACTTATTCATATATTAAATACTATAATGAAAACCATACTAATATAAAAAATAAACAATTAGATAATATTTAAAATAAATTGACCACATAACATTGTTATGTAAATAGAACTATAATTTAATTATTTGTTATACATAAAAGTCGATACAATCAGCTAAAAAAAAAAATACTCTTGATGTTAGGAATTGGTACAACGATCCTATACCAATAATTTAAGTACGTATATATAAAGTCAAAAACAAAGGTCGTGATCAACATCCAACGGCAACTCTTAAAGATGACAATATTTATCCCAATTGAGAACTTATTGAATGTAATGAACAAATAACTTATGAAGAAACTCAACAGAGCTGAGAATCAGCTGAAGAAGTGCTTAATACATTATCAATGGTTCTTTGATTTCAGAAAAATGAATGCTCAATGGAGCCTGGTTGTAGATTGAAAATCAAAAACAGGTCAGGTCAGAGATCAATCAAGAGATTTTTTAATCAATTTCGATAAGATGGAGAGGAGTTTTTTTAGGTGCATTATTATCTCACATATGATGAAATTCTACTATTATAATTATACTTCCAAGACAATAATAATGATGATGCGAATAAAAATTGGTTAAAGCAAAAAATCTTCTCAGCCAGAAAAGTTCTTGTAACAATTTTTTTTACGATTTACGGGCTATTTCAATATATTTTTTTTTTAATATTATCATGTTCTACTGTTGCTAGTAGTCATAGTTTGCAAATTCCCTTAACAAAATACAGGATGAGGAGTGCCAGTTAGAAATGTCGATTATCTTAATGATGCATTACATCATGATCTTAATTAGGGAAAAAATGGCCAGGGAAATCTTCTAAAACCCTCCTTATAATCCATTTTGTCCTACAGTCACTTATTTTTTATAAGGGAATTTGAAAGGATTGCTAGAAGAAGAAAGATTCAAAAGAAATGAAGACTTTGATGTAATTTGCTAACAATTCACATATAAACATTTTAAAAAAGAGATACTGAAAGTATGATTCATTAAAGTAAACGTCTAAATGATTACTGTACATATTTGATTTACGACATTATATCAAATTGAAATCTATACCTGTTTGATTTCTGGAGGCTCAATATTTTCAGCAAGTTTGTCAAGGGCGAATGTAACAATGTCTGAACTTGTTCTGCCACCTTCATAATTCTCAGCAGATGATCTGGTCTTTTTACCGGGTGGAAAGAACTTAATTGTGGGGTAACCCTGAACATTGTACTCGCTAGCTTTACTAGGGTGAGCGGTAGCATCTAAAGCTCCTAGTTTGACCTGAAATAATGATAAATTAGGTAAAACAAAATTAAAATCCACTATGAATAATTTTCTAATCATAAAAAAAAAAAAACTATAAATAATAAAAAACACTGAACATCATCGTTAATGAAGGTAAGCTCTTATGTATAAAATATAATTTTTTTAAAATGATAATATTAAAATATTATTTGTAAGTTGTGATTATGTAACACTACCTTTCCCTTCAATTTTGTAGCAGCTTCAGCCCAATGAGGTGCAAGGTTTTTACAATGGCCACACCATGGTGCATAGAATTCCACTAACCAAATATCATCAGACTGCAAAACCAACTTATCGAAATTTGAGTCTGTCAACTCAATTACATCATCGGATGAACCTCCTGAGGACTGCAAATTGAATATTAATTAATCAAATAGTTCTCAATCGAATCAAAATAAAAACATTAAATTACCATTTACGTACCTTGCCTCCACCCAATTTTTCATTAATTTTTTTCTTAATGACATTCACAACTGCATCAGCTAGGCCTTGTGCTGTTCTAGGTCCATTGTAATCTTCAGTTTTTGATTGATAAACAATTTTAATAGTTGGAAATCCTCTGACACCATATCTACCTGCTACGCTTTTGTGGTCATCTGCGTTCACCGCTCCCACTTTAGCAATACCCTACGCAGGATAAATATTCTGAAGTTAATTAATGAAAGTTAAAGAAACATTTTGAATATCAATATAATCTTGTTAAAACTTAGGAAATATTATTAATTTTTAAACACAAGAGCAGGTAGAGAGCATTGCATTATAAATAAAAGTATAGTAGGTTTTGGACCCAACCACTACTTCTACTTAATAGCAGTACTGCTCTCATGGCGAAGTTAGACTACCAACCCTCAGATCTATAAAACTTATGTAAAAGTCTGCCATAAAACTATAAAAATTATATAAAAAGCTTATGTTATATATAATGAAACCCACATTGCAAAAGCCTGTAACAGCAAAAACTAATATTATTCATAAAACTTAAAGTGATTAAAAATAAAAAATATTGATGCCCGAAATATAGATATATTTTTTTAAAAATACTATTTTGTTATATTTGAAAAATATCAATATTTCCTCCAGTTCATTAAGACAGATTAAAACTCAAGATCAACTTCTGTGCTACAAAAGAAAATCATCAATAGATGGTTTTTAAATTTTCATTTTAATGCCTGACATTAACAATTAACATTTTTAGTTACACATTCAGCACATGTTTTCATGTTTAAACATTTTAAAAATGAAAAAAAAAAAGTGATTAACTCTGAAATACCGATTAAAATTGTTAACTCAATAAAATGATCAAAGTAATTTAAAATATTTCAGGAAAATTCTGGAACTAAAGAGAATAATTAAACTAAGTATAGTAATAGTGCATAAGACCGAAACTGCCAATGAAAGAACTTTTAATCACTATTGCAATAATTTATTAGAGAATGCCTTACTTATCCCAACATATTCCCAAATTTCATAGAATTTCCAACTGGTAATGATTATATCAAAACACTATTGCAATACAAATTAATTTTATATTTTAAATATTTCTCCACAACCTAGTTCATATAATTAGTAATAAATATAATGAATTCATAGATCATTTCATGTCGTGCCAAAAATTCCATCCAGAAAACACAATCTGTATGGAAGAGAAATTGTTCTCGAGAATTAAAAAATTCAAATACCTCGGATCTGCAACTACCACAATGAATTATCAACAATCAGAAATACTATCGGACCAGTCTATAACAAGCCAAAGCAGAGCTTTCTTCTCTCTTGGATTAACTGAAGTCACTAAAAATATTAAGTAATCTCGAATTAAGGTTGTAGCATGCTATGATAAAACCAGTTCTGATACACGGTTGCGAGACCTGAACACTAACCACCACCCTATAAAGAAGCATAGAAATTTGAGAGTAATTCTCTGCACGATAACTGTAGAGATTTGTGATAAGTATTAACACATGGAGAAGACCAATCAATATCTCATTATGTGATGGCAAGGAGGTTAAGGTGGGTCAAGTAGCTTAAAGCAATCTATCAGGAAGTCTGAACACAATAATGAATGCCTTAATAGTAAACAAGAGACCACATGAAAGAGCAAAAGATCAAATCAACAAAGATGAAATAGAGCTCTATGCAACAAGCAAGAAACAGCCAGCAAGAAATAGTCCAAGATAGGCTGGTTAAAATAACAAAAGATACACAAGGTCTGTAATGCCATCAGAAATAAAAAATAGATAATTTTCCAACATCAAAGAAAACCCAATAAGAAAAAGCACTTTTTAGTTTATCTTCAGTGAATCCCTTTCAGTGCATTTTAGGCAAAAATATGTCATTAGGACAAGTACGTGAACATGATTGCTGATACTCGGCTACTTTTAACATCTCTTGAGACTCCACCTGCAGTGTGCTGGATGTGTACTTCAGATCAGTGACCATCTTGGTGTAGTGATTGGAACTAGTATCATAAAAAATAACTGAAAATACAAGTATTAGAACATTTATGAGAATTTCAATAATATTATGAAACCTTACTTTCAATGCTGTGGCAGCTTTGGAATATTCAGATGCAAATTGTTGGCAGTGTCCACACCAGGGAGCGAAAAATTCCACAATCCATATTTCATCGTTTTTTACTAATTTATCAAAATTACTGTCATTCAACTCAATTACATCTGAGTTTGAAGAATAAAGGGAAAAGGCTTGAGATAATATCCCAAGAAAAACTGGAAAAAAAATTTAAGAAAATAAAGTTCATTATTAATAAATACATAAAAATTGATATGAATAGGATTTTGAATGACTACTTAATCAAAAAGAAGAAGGAGGACTATATTTTTATGTGTTCTATGGTATTTTTTATTATTTAATTTTCGTAGTCCATGTCGTCGGCACGTTAAAGTAACGAAAGTGCAACTAAGATGAGAGAGAATGTGGTACGCACAGAAATATAATTTGTAATATTGCAACCTCTTAAAACAATATTGATTAAAGTTAAGGATACATGGTTAATTAAAATAATTTTCCCAAATTCACCAGAACAAATTTAGTACTCATTAATACAAGTAACTTTCCTATTACTTCAAACAATTAATGAATCATTATATTAACCACATATATTTATATCACATTAATGTTTATTGTGAAAAATCACTAAGTAAATTTTTGATAAGGCTGAACTTATCAAACATTTTTGTGAATTTCGGTCTTCTTTATCAGTAAAAAGAAACTAAGAGCACTGAAACGACACCAACTCTTTCAACATATCAAATATAGTATTAACAAGCACTAATTTTCTGATTTCACAGTGGAAACATTTATCAAAGTACTTAGGGACTTAAACAATAAATTGAATTTGCAATAAACCGAAAATAGACCTATTTAGTAATGTAGGATTTAAATTTAATACTGCTTATCAGTAGTTTTTTTTTTCTATTGCAATGAGAAACACAAAAGAGGTTTTAAAATGTACAATACCAGGAATTACTTCAAATTTACAAAAAATATTAGAATGAAAGACATTTTTATCATTATTAAGAACTTAAAATTGTGTTATCAACAGAAGTAATATTAAAATGTTGAATGGGGAAACTAAAGTATACTTACAGATACCGGTGTACACAATCATCTCTAATCAAAGAGTTAGAGAACAATATAACGCATCAATTATTAGTTAAATAATACTACTTCACTTTTAATTCGACAACACTCAAGTCTTCTCAACAAATAACTTTTGACAAAGTAACTCAACTCCTGATAAACAAAACCTCACTAAGCTTCAAGATCGTGGTCTTTTCCCATTGGCCCACGACCACACATAAACGTGCAATGATGACTTCCTTTTATTACTGTTTTTTGCAATGTTAAATTCATTTTCTCAATTAGTTGATTCGTGAAGAAGAATTTTCTTTTTCATTTTGCAATGAGTGACATTAATAAAATATCTTACATAGTTTATTCACAAGGCATTGAAAAACAATACAAATTAAAAATCATGTGAAAATCCAAGTTGAATTAGTCTTAGTTGAAATTTAAAACTCAAGCAAAAACCCCACCAAAAAAAAAAAAAAAAAATTAAAAAATCATAAATTGTCACCGGAACGCAGAAAGAAAGGCAAACAGGCAAACATCTCTTTAAAGATGATTTTAAACATTTTCAAATGCGTATGTTGAATATATGTAAATAATCATGCAGCGATCTTTGTTATTCTATTTGATGGGTAAAAATCTGTTTCAGTTACACGTTCCGGGGAACGAGGAGTTGGACTGTTTGGTGGGCCAAAATGAAGGTTGGGCAGGTGAACTTAAAGACAAGCAACTGCGAGCCTATAAAAGAGTTTCAGGTATCTATAAAAATTAGTTTATCCGATCTGTAAATGGATAAAACATTCTAGGTAGCAAGTTTGAATTTCTATAAAGTTTTTCCTCTTCCTCTTTTTCCTTACAACAATGAATGGAGTTCGTGTCCTCTTTGCCTTACTCCCACATTAAAATGGGTTGCGCCTACTATTTCTTTTCACCCATACACAAAGGCCTCGTAGTGTGGGTAATTATCTGCGAAGACGAGCAGAAGTAAATCTTCTTCGTTGAGGCTGTAGATTCCGGTACTCCTTTTTAGCTTGGCTCTCAGTGCCTCAAACGCAGTGCATCTGGTGATCACATATTCGATAATTTCTAGAATACCACAACTGGAGCATACAGGACCGATATCTTATCTAAGACTGTGTGACTTTGAAAAAATCTCATGTCCAGTGAGAAATTAAGTGATAAGACTGTCAGATTTGACTAGTCGAGACTGAACAGTGATTAAATACTTCGTTAGCATAGGACCTTATTGGTAGTTTATTAACCGATAACCGATTTAGGATATTGCCTGTTTTCCCCTCCTATCTTACAGAGAAGTCTCTAATCGGCAATCTTACAAAGTACCCATTATTTAGGCAATCTTTGAAAATTGCGAGTAGTTTCTCTTCAATATAGGAGATACTGTTCATAACGGTCTCCGCGTCTAAGGCATCTAGCCCCGAAGCTCGACCATTATTTTGCCTATCTACTGCACAATGTAGACCCCAGACATCTCATGGTGGGTACTAGTACCTGACAGATGGGTACATCGTGGTACGCCTTACAAATGCTTCTTCATCGTCATCCAAGGATGGATCATCCATCAGATTTCAATGACATTTTCAGGGATATTGGGGGGTTGTTACCATTACCCTTATAACTTTTATCAAATCACTTTCACTAATTACACCTATTCATGCGAAAGTTTGTTTGTCAACTCATATATTTCGAAAACTACTTCTTATATTTTAACTAAATTTAGAGGAATATTGGATATTAATTTTTAAATACTCCATTATAAACTTTACCGAATTCCATCAACTTCACTTGAGTATAATCCTCTGACTCCACAATCGATATTACTGAGAAAATAAATAGCTACAGCCCAACCCGAACTGGGCCCATAAATTAGAAATCCAGTGATTCTCCCTGAGCTAACCCCATCTACATTTTCTAAAAGAATAAGTTTAAATAAATTATAATAACTTAATAGAATCTAGCATTGATTTCTTGCTCATTGGCAAAGTTTTATGCATCATCATGATATCTAATTACTGCAGGGGTGCACATTTTGACAGGCCAAGAGACGCTATCGAAGGCGGATGATATGTCAAACAGGAGAAGCGTAACGTACTTCTCCGCCTTCTCTTCGATGTCACGGCGGACTCTCAGTGGGTCATCTGCTATTCTCTTGCCTTTAGTGAACCCGTGGATTGTTCTTTCTTGAGAAGACTGGAAGGCCATCCAACACCTTGTTCATGATTGGGAGGAGGCATATATAATTGCCTGTCTTTGTAAACGAACCCGGCGTCAGTAATTTTCAGCTTCTTGGAAGTATTCTTTGTCTCGGCAATCATTATAAACAACCAGCAACCTTCCTGCTATATTGGGAACACTGTTCTTGAAAATTGCCACGTCAATGGTGTCTAAGCCAGGGACAAGACCAGTCTTTTGAATGTCCAAGATGGTATGGAGATTCCATAGTGGGTACAGGTCCTAGCCGGGAGGGTATAACTCCTCTGCATTATCTTGAGATGGATAATCTCTGCAGTAAATCTCTCTAATAAACATCTTCGCCGATTCTTCTTAAGTTCTTGCTAGTTCAACGTCACCCTTTACCGCTGCTATAACTTGCATTGGGATTAATGTACCCAATGCCACTCTATATGGAATACTCAAGAGGCTCTTAGATGATTCCTCAACGATAAACTCATCCCAAGACTTCTTTTTATGTTGGGGCACCTCGTTTGGATAAGCCTTGATTTTCGACCTGTACTCATCACGAAGTGTAATGCGCCTCTCATCCTAAATACACCTTTAAGCCTTTTAAAGCTCTCTCTTCATGCTAGTTAAGTCCGGCGGCGTACACCATGGGACAGATCGAGCTCTCGCCTTTCAGTGCTGGAGAGATTTCTCAGCGGTTTACGGATATCAGTGATTTTGGAAACTCTGTAATCCAGGTTATCAGTGAGGTCTATCCTCAGGGTTGAAATTTATTTCGTATTGGATCCAGGAAATGAATCTCACTCATTAGAACAGGTTGAATGGAGTTAAACATGGCAATTAAGCCAGTTCTAGACCATATCACTTCCTTTTATGCTTCTTGGTCAAGAAGTCACTTTTTACAAAATATGGAACCCAAGACTAATCCATAAAATTTTTTTTATCCTTAAATATGTGGTATTTTTAATATTGAAGGGCACTGAAATTTTCAGCATATAATCTAAGCATATTGTATTTTTAAATCATAATTGAAAAGTTAATAACTTCCGCTGTTTCTAAACACTGTGCTTTTGCAGGTTGGAAATTTTTCCATCCCTTTAATAAGCACACTGACACTGTTGAAGCTGCAACTGAGGATTATTGTGTAAACTTGACTGCAATACCCTATAAACCTAGCTTTGTTTTTTATGAAAATGAATGGGTTTATAGATTTCACACATTCCAACCTTTTGTATCCCTCAGACAAAGTTCAATTAAATAAAGACAATTTATGAAAAAAAAAAAAAAAAAAAAAGTAAAATGTCTTAATTTATTTCATTTTAAGTAGGACCAGGGGTGCCCATCCTCCCTCCCCCAACGTCAATGGCACAAGAACCTACCTCTCTTCCCACTCCCAAGATATTTTATTGCTCCTATTTTCTTATAAACAGAGCAAGCGAAGGTAGAATTAGAAAAATCATAGATCATACACAATTACACTTGCTGCGGTCTGTTCTATGTTTCCTACTTGTTTCTAATTCATGAAACTTTTCATTCCGAAAATTCAAAAACCTGTCAAATATACCCCCTCAAAAATTTTGATGGCGCCATGAAATCCTCTTCTGGGCACCCCTGAGTACGATGAAGAATAATTAATTTTTATAATAATCTGTTAAGTATCAGGTTTGGCTCACAATTCCATCAGTGTTAAATCTGTATCACTATGTAAATTATTTCTAATACTTACTTGAATAATTAGATACATGAATATAAATATAATACACCTTCATGAAAACAAATGTAGTGAATAAAACATGTTTTTCAATATTCCATGCTTTGGCTGGTTAATAAATTTTAATCATTTGATCAAGATGTATTAATATCTTTTTAATTTAAAAAATCCACCAAGAGAAGCTTATAATTAAGTATATAACTAAGTAAATAAAAAGTACTTAACCATTAAAAATGTTTGTAACTTTGCTCAAGAAAAACCAGCTTGATTAATGACACCTTTAAGTTAATATCGATTAAGTTGAGATTCACCTCTAGTTATATAAAAAAATTATGTGATTTACTGTTCTATCACTCCAACAAATAAAAATGACTATGATAAAAAATTGAAAAGCTTAAATTAATTAGTTCCTGTGATCTGGTATGTATTGTAATAAACCCAACTAAGATTCTTTTTATTTATAAAAAAAAATCTACTTTTTTCAAAAATTATTATCTGAAGTGACATTGATTTTTAAACTTGCCTCTATTATGGGATTCGATCCTTATTGAATTAACGATCGTCCCCTCCCCGCAATAAATATGTTGAGGAGGCGAGTGTAGTTTCGATCCTGCAATAATTCGAAGTAAAAAAAAAAAAAAAAAATTAAAATTGATAACAAATAAGCTATATGAATGAATAGAATATGTAAACTAAAATCGATAAAGAAAATAAGATAAGTCAACTAGCTGGCTAAGCTCTGTATGTAGGTACGTAACTATTTTGTCACAACCTAAATATTCATATTATTTAAATTATCATTCATATTCAGGAATAATAATACAGAAGCATGTCCTCAGATTTTATGATTCATTTACCTTTCATGTGGACACCTCCATTTTCACATGATTTTCTTGTAAATTTTCTGCGATAAAGTTGGAAAAAATATATTTAAGAAGTACTAGTATAAATATACTTTATAGAGAATGTTTTTATAGACATTTTTACATGGTCAGACTGTGAAAATGTCTTATTTTTATTTGGAGGTTATACAAACTAAGAAATCAAAAGTATTTTTCAGTTTTTAACATAATTCGTTTCTAGCTGAAAAAGTTCTAGAAATTTACCTATTCTGTACCTACCTCGTGCTTATTGTATACATATTGTAATATATTCAATTGTTTAGTTCATTTATTTTGAAGTACATCCAAAAGCACACAAAAAAAAAAAAAAAAAAAAAAAAAGAATCCTACAACTGTTTAAACATATATATATAAATTTTTTATATAAGGTGTCTTCAGGGAATAAATAGGCCCTTATATTTTCAACAATTTTTTATTATACTTCTGACGACTTTTCGAACTGATTGGCTCATAGTCATCTACAAATAACAATTAAAATTATGAGATTTTAGAGAGAGTGTTATGAGATTTTTATTTCTCTTATTCATGTTATTTTTTATGTTAAAATCCTTTTTAGGCGTTTTATCTCGGCTACCATATTTCGTGTTATCATTATTTTTATTATTTATATATTTATACCACAGTTTTTTGACCATTTTTTATTAAAAAATAACAACATGAATAAGAGAAATAAAAATCTCATAATGAATTATTTTAGTGTTGGACGGCGAGGAAAATCCCAAGTATGACAGTTAAAAGGATACAAAAAAGAACAATACAGTGAATATAATATACACCACAAATTAAAATACATTCCGAAATTGAGAGAAAAAACAAAAAATGGTTTTAAAAAATATGATCATCACAGACTCAAATTCGGACTATACAATGACAGCAAAATAAAAAGACATATCCAACATGAATGATAGAATAAATACAGCAGATAAAAACGACTTGATATACAATATTCCGTGTAAACAATGTCCCATACATTATATTGGTGAAACATCACAAAATTTAAAAAACAGGATAAAACAACACAAAACAAACATAAAAAATCCGAAAAACATAAACTCCACAGCTTTATCCAATCACAGAATTTTAGAAAAACATACATTTGATTTCAATTATACAAAAATTCTAAACACAACACAAAACAATAAAATTAGAAAAACATTGGAACCAATTTATATTACTAAAAACAAATAAATCAGTCGATTTTAAATATTATGTTAAAAATATAGGCCAACATTATGTCCATATATTAAATGAATTAAATTTTTAATTTGTTGTATAGCATCTTCTAACAAGTATTATAATTATATCTGTAGGCCTCCCCTCTCATCTACGGCGGAGAAAGCTGGACTATGCTAGACAAACATTATAGTCGCATAACAGCAGCGGAAATGCGATTCCTACGTAGATCGGTGGACAAAACTAGGAGGGATCGCATTAGAAATGAAACTATCAGAGAACAGCTGAAAGTGCCTGAACTCAAAACCACCTTGGAAAACAGGCAACTAAGGTGGTTTGGACATGTCTGCCACATGAACGAGGACACGGACCCTATAAAGATATTAGAGGCTCGACCTACAGAGAAGAAACCACGAGGGCGTCCCAGAATTGCATATCAGGAGTTCATGCAGAGGGTCGGAGGTAGAAGAGGCGAATTCTTCAACCAAATGAAGCGGTTAAGCAGAGAGCGGGAAGATTGGCTGCGCTGGATAGAGGCTCCTCGACGCTAGAAATGGCATTGTGAGGAAGAAGAAGAAGGCCTCCCCTAATTAGGAGGGTAATGGTCTAACTTCCCGGGAAGACCAGCCGTATTGGGATTTTTTTAGTTAGTCCATAGTAAATGAGATAAAGTTTTAATTAGATAGGGAAATAGATAATAATAAACATCAACAGAACTAGATCCCATTCAATCATTAGTTAATTCCTACAGAGACATACATTGCTAAAGGGTTCATATGTACAGTGAATATTTAAAAGTAGACAGAGGAGGTAGTTCCGTACTGGGTGAGCATATGGTTTAAATATAACAATAGTAAGCAATAAGAAAATGTATAACTAATGAAATAATCGCATGCATCAATCAATGCGTAAAAATTTAAGGGAGATAATGACGAGGAATACATATTCGGTGACAATGGGTATACTACATATAGTAGTTCATGAAATAAGTATATAAAAAATGTTTTGGTAAGTTCTCACTCGTTACATGACTAGATAAATGAGCAACCATAGTTGTAGATTATCTTTGTTTAATTTTATTTGTTATTTGTAGATGACTTGATAATGAGCCAATCAGCTCGAAACGCCGTCAGAAGTATAATAAAAAATTGTTGAAAATATAAGGGCCTATTTATTCCTTGAAGACACCATATGTAAGAACATTAAGAACACCTTGAAAAATACTACCGAAGTAGTTATATATATATATTTAAATATCCAATATTATATTTGTTCGTTTTACAATAATTATTTTGAATTTGTACACATAATATGAACTACCATCATTTATTATTTATTTTTGGTCCATTGTCCCTCTTTTCCCAATCAAAATGGAAAGTAAGTGCATACGCCTTTTACACAGGTGAGAATTTTTATTCAATTCTTGATTGAGAAATTGTAGGAAGTAGTCAGCCATCAGAGAAGATTAAATAGAAAACAGTTTCTTATTTTAAATAGGAATAAACATCAAGATGGGCACACAACATAGTTCATGAAATTAGTGTGAGAATTTTTATTCAATTCTTGATTGAGAAATTGTAGGAAGTAGTCAGCCATCGGGATAATTTTAAATATAAAACAGTTTCCAATTTTAAATAGGAATAAAAGTAGCAGGTATTTGCTCAAATTTCTTAAAGGATTTTTTTAAATTAATGAATATTTTACGTGTCTTCCCAGCAGAAGTATCAGCTTCTCATTTTGTTATCTTATATTCAGTAGAATTATACCTTCTACAAAAAAAAAAAGTTTTCTCTAATACAAAACTGTATAGGTTTCAAAATAGAAATCAAACATTAATTTATTAGTAAATTATATTAAAAATTTATTGAACCGCCAACAAATTTAATTTGCTAAAAACAAAATAAAATATAAACATTGTTTAATTACATAAATATATACACATATATTAATAAACAGAAAATAAACAAATTAAAATTTTAAATAAGAAACAAAAAGATATCAGATATTGTAACAAAATCAATGAACATAAAAAGTGACGAGCTAGTATAAACATTTAAGATACTAAGTCTGAAGGTTTGACTCTCAATATGACTGGTACACTTGTGCATGGGAGTATGGCGATTTCTGTGACCACAGCTGTCACCAGGTCAGGAGGCGTTATGTCATAAACGATGCTCAGAGGGGTGAGAAATGTAAGTGAATTCCAATCACTCAGCCGTGTGTCTTCCTTTGCAAGATCATCAGGGCTCCCTGGAAACAATTAATCAATTTTAAATAAATTAAAAAAAAAATTGTGAATCAAATGGCAAAATGTTGACTGAAAATAGAGTTCATTATTCATTAAATAGAGTTCATTTTTCATTAAACAGAATTTGTCATTCATGTAACGGACATATTAAATTAATGGTGAATAAGGGGAAAAGAAAAAAAAAAAAAAAATATTTGCTTTACATTGCAAATCCACTTTCAATCTACTTGGTAGCCATATCAATGCAAAATCAAGACAACATTCAATGAAAAAATTTGATATACAATATTTATATTGTACCTCCACTATATCCTAAGTTACAGATTTAACATGTTAACTTCGGTTACGGTCACGGCATCTGATAGCTTTATATCAGATATGATGATTATTTACGTTTGCATCTATCCAACTCCCATTTAAATATTTTTAAAAATGATCATTTTAGAGACTTCGTAAGATAGGCAAAATTTGAAACAATCCCGAAATACGAACATCAGAATCCAGAAACCGCAGCCGCAGCTAACGTGTTAAGTATACCTGAAGCAATCTGGAGTGTAAAATGTTATTACTAGTTATTACATTACCACAGTTACACAGAACATGACCTATCAGTGAGTTGTGTAAGCAGAAATTGCAGATCACCAAGATTGATCATCCCCTTGGTGAGAGAAAATACGGATTGATATTACACTAATAACAGAAATGTGTTTGATACAAAAAAATCAAGTTGTACATTTTTGTTACAAGATTCATAGAACCAGAGGCAGATCTACGGAGGAGAGGAGGGCTTCTGAGCTTAAGTCTCCTCTCCTATAATTTTTTTTTTTGTTTTATATTTGTTTGTGAGCGACTAAGCTTGAACAATTACAATATATTCTCTTCTTGAATCATAATGTATATACAGCTGCTAAATATAACCATTATTGTTCCTGTAATTACGTTTTTTGTAATCAACCATTTTTCTCTTTTCATCCAGGAAAATTCTTTAAAAAAAAAAAAGCCCGCAAAATTAAATCTTGAATTCTGCATTACACTACCTACTAATAGTCACTGCACGGTACTGACCATCCAAGACATGGAAGGAGGGCCATATTGATTAAATCACTACTAAAAAAAAAAAAAAAAGTCTTTTATGATTTGCCATAACACACAACGAAAAAGCCAAGTGAAACAGTCGAACACGTCACAATTGGTAACCACACCCTAAAAGTGGCTGAAAATTTTAAATATTTGGGAGCACTAGTCACAGAAAACAATGAAATGGTGGAAGAATTAAAAGCAATGATGACTGCCGGGAATAGGTGCTGTTTTGCAATGCCAAAAATATTGAATTACAGATCTCTTTCTCACAGAACAAAGATCACGGTGTATGAGAAAGTCATCAGACCCGTTGTCACCTATGGCTCTGAGACTTGGGTGATCTCTAAAACATCGGAAAAAAGGCTACTCGCATGGGAGAGAAGGGTTCTCCGCAGAATCTATAGCCCGGTGTGCGAACAGGGACAATGGAGAATTCGCACTAATAAAGAACTGTATGAAATGTATGCGAGTCCGGATTTGGTTTCAATTGTGAAGGGAAACCAGATCAGATGGTTGGGCAGATGGGGGTGGCGCGTATGCCCCGAGACGCAATTCCCAAACGCTTGCTAGAGGATCAGCCAGCTGGAAAACGTGGAAGGGGAAGACCACACCTGAGATGGCTGGACCAGGTAGAAGACAGTCTGAAAAGGATGGGAATTCAAAGATGGAGAATGCTCGCTCGGGATAGAGGAGAGTGGCGAAGGATCATAAGAGAGGCCCAGGTTATTACAGGACCGTAGCGCCAAAAATAAATAAAATAACACAACTGAGAATTTTGTTTTTTTTTCTTGTAGTGTGTCATTAATTAAGTAATTTATGTAAATAGAAATCAAAACAAAACATTGTAAAACTATTTAGAAGGTAATATGCAAATAGAAAATAAATATTTGACTGTAGTATATTCAGAAATAAAATTTCAGATTATACCATACATTTAAATAAATATTGAATACTTGATGGTTGACCGTTGTGAACCTCTTTGAGGAAGGAGGTGGTCATAAAAAGACTTATCAATTAAATAAATAATATCCTAACATTACTTACCTAACTCATTATATACAAACGCATCAGTCTGTACCCTCTCGCAAAATTTGTAGGTTTCACAGCACACAAGAACAGGAACACTGTAAGCATGAGCAGCCAAGGCTACGAGGGCTGAGCCAGCCCGGGACATTACGCAACCGTTGGCAAGTAAGGCATGGGCACCAATCAGCACTTTAGTAGCCTGCAAATATTAAAAATTAAATTGAAGAACAAAAGTGGAATTTAAACAAATCATAGGATCAACACACGTCTAAAACTTCATGAATAGCATCATTTCACTTCCAACTTTTTAGTGCACTTTTTAGAGGATTTGATGTATTGTTGTAAAAACAATTTTTTTTTTTTTTTGATACTACAGACCATGCAGATCTTTGACTGCGAGATGTGGATCCTAGGCCACATACCAATTCCTGATTTAAGTGCACCGGGTAGGGTCATCAGTACGCCTGGTCGGAGTGAGTGGCCCCCAGTAGGCTGACGGGCCTCACATACCCGGGGGGCGAATCTCGGGCGGTGTGGCTTTCCCTGGTGGACGGCCACCTATCCAAGTGCTAACTACGCTCGGCGTTGCTTAACTTGGTTAACTATTGCAAGCGCCTTAGCCCAGTGTAAAAATAAATATAGTAATTGTAAATAGATGGGTAAGAGAAATAAATAAAAAAAATTTAATGGTGTGGAGATTGTTGAGTTTCAAATTAGTTATAATTTGAGAAGAGTGTGCGGTCAATACATAATACTGTATCATATAAGAGTATTATATAATACTGTATCATATAATAGTATTTTTTATTGTATTTTCCGTTTCGAGGAATGTTGTAGGTCTTCTTCAGGGCTAAAAGGGATACAAACAATTAATATTAAATAGTACAAGGTACAGTAAATGGTAAATAAAATATCTGTTGTTTCAGTTTTGAACTGATTCATTGATGTGTAAGGTATTTATCAATGTGATGAAAAATGAAAAAATGAATTTAGTAAGTAAGTTATTTATTATTTATTTATGGCAATCATACCCTGCTGGTAAGGCAATGCGGATGTTATGCAACAGTTAGTAGCAAGTCATGTGTTACAACTCACTGCTGCATTCAGACCAATTATATTTTTTTTTTTCTGATATTTATTTCTCTCTGGTGGTCTTCCAGATGCAGGTCCATCTCTTCTTTCCAATGAAAAGTTGGTTGAACCAACGAGTTCCTTCCACCTGTATACAAAGGCCTTATAGTACTTGTAGTTCTCCTTAGTCACCCTACTTTCCATGTAGTCCAATGTAGTGAGGCTCAATGTTGAACTTCCTTCCAATTCTTATGCCAAGGGTAAGTAACAGCCTCCATTTTAAGGTAATTAAGTTAAAATGGATTTAAAGTTGTGATAATGTAGAATGTTTATGTTGATGTAAAATGTTAATGAGGAATGTTTTTAGCCCTGAAAAAGACCTATAACGTATGTTGAAACATTGTAAAATACAATAAAAAATACTATTACAAGATATAGTATTATACACTCACAGGTAAAAAATTCCACCAACTTGATTTTTTCATGTTTTCATTTAAAAATATTTCTGCTTTGGATTGGTCTATTGTTTTTAATGAATAAATAGGTAATCTTTTTGTTTCTATGGAATCAAAATGTTTATTCAGTATCATTAGTTCAGTGCCGTTTCTTGCAGCACATTTCTTACGTCTCCGGCTTTTAATTTATTCAATATTAAGTTTAAAAATGCTTCTTAGTGCTGAGGATGTTGCGCGTGGTGTGGCACTTATTGATGATGAACACTCCATTAGATATGCAGCTAATGCCATCGGAGTTCCATATGAAACCTTAGGAGACGCCGTCAGGCGTTTTCGGGAAACTGGTTCTTACAATAGAAGGCCCGGTTCTGGATGGACGGCCTAGGGTAACAAAATCACGGGATGACCTGTTTTTGACTTTGAGAATTTTACGAAACCGGCACCTTACCATTGTTCAAGCGATTCATCAGCTCGAAGAAGTTCGAGGTGTGCAAATTTCTGAACATACGGCTCGGTGAAGATTAAATGAGTATGGATTAATGGCTTTTCATCCAGTAAGAGGACCAGAGTTGACCAGAACTCACAAAGTAATACGACTGGCTTTTGCTCGAGAACACAGCCATTGGACTATGGACGAATGGAGTGCTGTACTTTTAAAAGATGAGTCAAGATTCGCTCTTCGATCTCCAGACGGGCGTGAAAGAGTGTTGAGAAGAATAAACGAAAGATATGCAGCCTGTAATTTTTCCCAGAGCCAACCTTTCCAACATGGTTCCTTAATGGTGTGGACTGGGATTTCAATGGAGCACCGCACAGAATTGGTTGTTCGTGGAGGGTCTTTGACGGCCATTCGCTATGTAGATGAGATTTTGGAACCTCATGTGTTGCCTATCCTCAATGAAATCGGCGATCGTTCAATTCTAATGCACGCCCACATGTCCCCCGCATAGTGCAGACGTTCCTTCAACAGAACAATATTGAGATTTTAGCCTGGTCAGCAAGTTCTCCAGATTTGAACCTCATTGAGCATTTATGGGATAACCTCGGAAGATGAATAAGAGCGCGTGCAACACTTCCTGATACACTGCAGGATCTTGAAAGGGCTCTTCAGGAGGAATGGGCTATCCTCCAGCAAAGGGACATTTCCCGACTGGTGGAAAGTATGCCGAGGTCTTTCAAGAATTAGTGAAGGCAAGAGAAGGAAACACGCGCTACTAAACGATGATGTAATCAATTTTTTTTAAGAATAATAATGGTTCGTTTTTCAATTTTTTTTCCTCTAATCTTTCTTACCCAATCATATTTTGATTATTAAAGGTAACAAAGATTATAAAATTCCATAAATACTAAGTATTATCTACAAATACCATGTATTATATACAAATACAACTTTATAGAAATATTTTTAGATGAAAACATGGAAAAATCAAGTGGGTGGAATTCTTTGCCTGTCAGTGTATATTGACAGCACTCCTGACTAACTTCTTCTAAAATAAAAAAAAATTCTTAAGAGATGGGTAGGTAGTCGTTTGGGTGAAACAAAATTCTTAATTTTCAATAATAAATAAAAAAAATTGCTAAAATCTTTAAAAGTAGAAAAAGGCTTATGGATGATTTAGGTCATAGATTTAAAACAAGCATGAGTTAACTTTTATGGCTAAAGTAAAACAAAAAAATAGATAATAATTATATATACGGTGTAATATAAGGCATTACAAATGTTTGCCATAATAACCAGACCTCAACCCTCATGTACAATGTAGCAAAACTAGGACAAAAATACTGAATAGATATTATATTTTTGTAGGAATCTTTATAAAATTTGTAGGAAAGTTTATAAATTCTTAACCTCAATTTCTTTTTAATATTGAGCAAGTTTCACAAAAGTGGGTAAACCATTGAAAAGTTAAAGAAACGAAGTAGATTTTTTTAAGAATGCCAAAATTGTAGTTTGAAAACTCATAATACGAGATTCCACCATTCAATTTTGATCAGTGAAAATTATTAATTTTTTCTTGTTTGCTATTTTTTTTTTCTGGTCCCATATGGGTCCTGTTATCCTACATATATATATATATATATATATATATTATATATATATATATTATATATATATATATTTTTTTTTTTTTCACCAAGACTGTTCAATTACTCTATATTTTTAATAAGTATCTCTGAGGCTCCTTAGCCCACATTTCTATCTTCCTGTATTATTCTAAAGAAACTCGTCCCAGAATAAATTAAGTATTATTATTATTAATTGGTTGCTGTCTTATAGGAAATTGATTTTAATTCCAAAAGTGGAGAAACGTTTAGTAACATAAGAAAAATTTGAATTTCGATAGAAAAACATGATTTTCTCATAAAATTCTTTAAAATATTGTATGTCAACAATGGTTTGAGATAGAAAGGAACATTTCCTCCTGGTAATCTAACTTATGGTTATACTACTGGTAAAACTTATAGTATACATTTTATATAAACAATGAATATAAAAATATATATCCTGCTTATAAGTACATGAAAATTTGTACCTGTCTCACTATGAAACTTAGAGCTGAAATTTGAACGTAAGAACATTTGAGGCCAGCTTCAACTAATCTTCGAAGCATCTCTTTTCCTTCAAACCACGGCCCGCCATCAACAACAATAATACTGAATTCACGTCCACTTCGGTGGCTTTCAGCAAGAATTCGATAAAGAAGAGAAGAACTGAAACATATTATGTAATGGTAATCAAAATATATTTATTAAATCATGAGGCTTATAAAATGATGTTTTTTACAATAAAAAACAAGAATATTTTGAATCAAAACATAAGATAAATTCATTCCTGATTTGGATAGTTTTGATCAGTTATTGTTTGTTTTTTTCAACCATTCTACCCTCTATCTTATGTTTTGTTTTATTTTATTTTTTTAAAGAATCATTCTATTAAAAAATGATAAATTTTTTCACATTTATGGGCACCAAATATTTAGAGCTAAAAGAAGCACATTCACATCACATCGATACCACACAACAAAAAACAAAAGAAAAAGGACTAACAAAAACAAAAGAAATGAAACTTGAAAAAATTAAATAACATATAAAGTCATTAAAAAAAAAATCATAGTTTTTTCTATTTCATGACTGCTTTTTTTATGCAACATTAGTCATATGTTGTCACCGAATATAAGTTTTTGCCATTTTCTTCACACTCCATGCCCCTGTTCATCATTCCTTCCTTTACACCCTCTTACCAGTTTCTCTTCGGGCGACCTTTATTCCGTGTTCTTTCTGGTTTCCAATCCCAAATTCGCTCAGGCCATCGTTCTTCTTCTATTCTCATCACATGCCCATACCACTTTAGTCTCATAGTTTCAATGGTGTGAAGGATGTTCTCTATTTGTTCTACTCGTTTGCTTATTTCATAGTTTGGAACTCTTAGAAGAGGATAAGACACTACATGTTCATCTCCAATAGTCCATTTCTAGAGCCAATAATATTTTTGATTGACTCTCTTTAATTGCCCAAGATTCGGCTGAATAGAGTAACACTTTCCAGGAACAATTTGTAAATAATTTTTTTTTTGTTTTTAAGGACACTGCCTAACTCCACAGTACAGAATTTAAGGTTAGATAGAATTTGAGGACTATCTTTCCATTGCTTATCTTCTTTTCAATATCCATATCCGATGTTCCTGTCATATTCACCCAGCTCCCTAGATACTTAAATTGGGCTTCAGGTTTCAACATCCAGCTGTACAATCGCAGATATTAATCTTGGCTATTAAAGGCCATATATACAATTTTTTCTTTGCTGACCCCAGGATGAATATTGCAGGAGAATTTTTCTCATATATGCCACATCTTCGGCTTCTGGAGTAATAAGTACAGGGTCGTCAGCAAACTGGAGATTGAATAGGCAATCATTCCCAAACTTTATGCCCATACATCTACATTTTTTCTTCCATTCTATTAGTGCCCTTTCTACATCAATGTTAAAGAGAAGCGGAGACAGTGGACATCCCTGTTTTAAACATTTTGTTATGAGAAAGCTATTACTAACAGGCTCCAGTTTTAACACATGCTTTGGCATCGTGATATAAATTTTTTATGACAGTTACGAGGTAAGAACTTATGTTGAAGTCTTCTAATGTTCCCTACACCCTTCTCTGCCAAGACCTTCTCAAGCTGCTTGATGGATACATCTTTTAAAATTGTCATATTTATTATCCTCTTCCTCAATCAGTTGTTGTTTCAGTCTATTTTGGAGTGAGTCTTATAAAAGACCATCTAGATTATACTTTAACTGACTTGATTTGGTTTTCCTAGGCGGTGTTAGTTTGCCTTTGGTTGTTTGAAACGCTTTAAACATCACAAGACCCCTAACCATGTAGTGATCAGTGCCACATTCTGGACCCCTCATGGCTCTAACATCATTTACTGTGATAGATGGGTTATTCCTCATAATGATGTAATCAATAATACTACTGAGATTGCGTGTCGGTTGGTGGCAGGTATATTTATGAATGTTTTAGTCTCAAAGAATCCGTTCATAATTCTTAAATTAGCATTAAGACATAAGCTTTTCAGTTGAATTCTATTATGATTCAAAACATCTTCACCATATTTGCCCAATATATCATTTTGCATTTCTCTACCAACTCGTGTTTAGATCTCCTGTGCAGAACGAAACTTTATGGTCAGCGATGTTTTCTATAGTCTCTTACAATTCCTTGTAGAATTTATCTTTTTCAACCGTGCAGGTATCATCCATTGGTGCATTTAGTCCTTTATATAATTACCTCTTTTCCATCATCATCAATCATAATGTAACATGTATCGAAGAAATTAAAATATTTATATTAAACTACAATGATTATTTAAAAGACCTATAATTTTTTGGTGCTCCAGCGGTATGAATAAACACACAAAAAATAAAAAAATAAATAAAATAACAGAAATGTTTACCATGAATAAATTAGAATTACATCTCCATTTGTTATTTTATTTTTCACAGATTCACATATTGCTTCCCCAGCAACATCGATTTGTTCTCTGATAAATGTATCAATAACATCAAACAGCTTTCTTTTTGCCTAAAAACATAAAGTTGTTTCAATTTTTAAGTCCAATAATTTTGTTTTTTTTATGATTATACAATAAATATAACTTTTAATTAATTTAACTCTGGTAATTATCCCACACCCCCTCTCCTGGCCTGGGAAAAATCCCATATAGCCAAAAAGACGAGGAAAAATTAAATAAAAGAACAACTTCAAAGAAAACAAAAACTAATTCATAAATAAAAAAAATCTTGAGCATTGTATCTGACATTGGAAATAGTCCACAGACTTCATCGCTCATAAGTTTCATCAATTAATTTGTTGAAATAAGAATATATATTTTTTTTTGGTACCTCATCATCTGAAACGTTGTTTGGAAGCTGAGTAAGATGAGACTTAATATGCCTCAAAGCATTTGTCATAGAGACTGCAAAAGGTCGATATTGATTAAGGTAATTAGTAAGTTCACCTAATTTTGATTCCAAGCCACGAGAAAATTCTTTTTCTGCTGGTGTACTATAATCATTAATGACCTAGAAAAAAATATATATTTACAAAATTGTAACAGCCACATTTTACATGATTTCATTAATTGTTCAAATAAGATAAATTCACCTCCTTTAAGCAGTTCAAAAGAGCAACACACCTTGCATTTGATCCACTAATGATTCGGGAAGAATACTTAATCCCGAGCTCAACCACTGATGGATGTATACTCCTAAAATTTTAACTTATTAATGTTGATTAAGAAGATAAAATTATTTTTAAAAAAATGTAAAAATCAAAAAAAGAGTACTAACGGGTTCAGTTGAGCCTGTGAAGGTTTCTGCCCAAGATGTAAATGGCTAAAAAGTTTTATTCGCTGCTGAGAAACAATTTTACCCTTCGACGAAGTTTTAGGTTCTCTCTTAAGAAAATAAATTTTTAAAAATTAAACAAGGATAGGGAAGTAAATGTGAAGTTAAACAGAGAACAGTTGAAAATAGAATACTAATTTATATACAAATTTCAACTTACTGAAATCTCTTTAATTAAAACAGGTTTTTCAGCAACATTAATAACTTGATTTTCTTTGTTTTCAGAAACAATTATTTTTTGTTTCTTTTCTGTTTCTTTTGCAGCTCTCTGAGCCTCCTTAAAAAACATTTTAAAAAATGATAAAAGGGAACATAAATAAAGATATGACTATCAACAATTCCTCGAAGTAAAAACTACTTTAAATACCTGTAAGGCACGCCTTTCTGCACGGAGTTGAGATTTGCTCTTTTCACCTTCTACTTTAACATCACTAGTCTTGCTGTCATTTTTCATACCTGTTTGAATACTATTAATTTCACATTTGGTTTCTGGTAAAGGAGGTATACTTTCAGAATCAAGTTGTTTAGGGTCAACCACTGTATTATCAGACACAATATCTTCACTCTTGTCAACCTTTTTTTGTTTAGCTAACTGTTTCGCTTTTTTCTTAGCTTCTCTTTCAGCTTTAACTTCTTCTCTGGATTTGTCAGGGACACTAATCTCCTTATTTGATGATGCAGAAGAAGAAACATCATGATTTTTTGAATGTTGAAAAACATTTGTAGCCCTGTCATTATCTGCTTGTTGAGATTGTTTATCAACTGTTTCGTGACTAACAACATCTAGTTCTTTTTGTTTCTTTAGTTGTTTTGACTTCTTTTTTGCTTCACGTTGAGCAATAATTTCATCCCTTGACTTTTCATTTTCTTTAATTTGAAGTATAGGTTGAGAGTCTTTTGAAACATTAGAATCATTTTTTTTTGAAAGAGGGACAGCAACCAAACCTTCAATCACGGAATTATCCCCTGATTCCTTTTGTCCTACATTGCTTCCTGGTAATATATTTTTTAGGATTACTGATTTTCCTTGTTTTGTTACTAAAATATTATCACTCTTAACATCATCCTTTTTCTGTTGTTTATTTTTTTTCTTAGTTTCTTTTTCTACATTAAAATGTTCTCCACTAACTTTGGGTCGAGACAAAGAAATTTCACCATCAACCACATCACTAACTCTTTTAGACTTTTCTGGTTTTATGTCAGCAACAGATACGGCCTTAGGATTTAAAGACATTTCTCCTTCTTCAGCCTCAACACCTGGATCAATATTTTTGCAACTGGAGTCTGTGTGATTTGAAGAAATAGCTTTCAGTTTTTTTTTTAATCTTTTCTTTTTAGATTTACTAATATGAACTTCAGGTATCTTAAGATCGTCACTGAATTTCTTTTCAAGGGGCAGAGAAGCTCTTTGAGATAAAAAGGGGCATTGTTTAACTAGATCTTCATATGGCACATTAGTATTCCAATTGACCTGTAAATATGATATCATATAGATGTTATCCAAACATTATAAATAAAAAAGAAACACAATAATATAGAAACCATAAAGAATTTTAAATCTGAAAGATTTCCTTGAAGCTAAAATTATCCAAAAATGTTGACACACGCACAAATATCTGTATTAGATGTACTTTATTCAACAACTAAATTAAAAATTACAATCCTGAATCAATTGTTATTAAATCAGATTAAAAACTTAATGAATTATAGAAAAGTGCTTTGAAATCTACATAAATCTTAAAACGTGCAAAATTACCTTATGTCCTTCCATCACTAAGGCATGAAAAATAAGAGAATTATATTAAATTACAAAAACAGATTGAACATAGCACAAAATGTTCAAAATAAATCTAAATTGGGAAGGTAAATATTCCTTGGAGCTTTTTACGGAGTTGACGTTATCTCAGTCTTTTTAAAAATTGCATGATATTAGAGTTGCATAATATTAATTACCTTTTGTTGTCATTTTCGAATGGTTTATACTTAATTCCTAAGTAATCTCATAATTTAGACTTTTTCAGTTATGAAACTAAATTATGGGTCAGAAATTTGATTACGTGTGCAATGTATATCAATGGTATATTTGAAAAGTAAAACAATAAAAATTAACTTGTAAAACTATTAATATAAAAAAACGAAAAAAGATAATATCACTCGGGAAAAAAATTATTTTGAAATTAAAATTGTCTTGTAGCATTAAATAGTAAATTAAGTCCTCACTGGTCTCCATGTTGTTTTCTTTCAGTGTGGAACTTCGGGATTACCATGAGGTACCTTTGTCAATTTTATTGTAATATTTGTCATATGTTATATTGTGCATTGATTTTTAATCTTTTTTTTACATATCGTTTATTTATAATTATCTATAGCAAGCGTATTATTGTATCTATTTACTTATCTTAATGTTATAGTTCTATGATTGTATAGATTTCATAACCTTACGAAGCACATGCTTTACAGGGCAAGTTTCCATTAGATGGAAACATTTTTTAATCAAACAAGCATTCCCATTTAAACATTTGTGTTTATTAATATAAGCAACAAATGCAATTTTTTATAATGTTAGGAGTAATTCTTAACTTACCGTTTATTAATATTTATTTGCGATTTTTGAACTGGCAATTTATTTGGGTAGTTATCATGGTTTTCTATGTTTTCTTTCAGGGTATTGTCCTTAAAAGCTCATTTTAATTAACTGAGTCTCAGTTTATTTCTCTTGTGATTTGGTTAATTATAGTTTCCTTTATGATACAAAAATCCACTCCTTTGAGATATCAATTTTCTTTATTGATATATTTAAGTATGTAAAATATATGAAAAATAACAAGTTCAGAGCATATAAAAGTATTTAAGTATAAGTAGCATTTAAGTATATATAAAGATTTCACGTTTGAGTGAGATGTGAAGTTGATGTGTATCATATGCATTTAAATAATTTTAGCACTCAAATAATATAATACAAAACACCATTAAGGGACTAAACAGTTGATAGTGGGCCCTATAGTATGTCTTCACATTATAATAAGTTTGTAGCTTCAAGTTGAAAAATGTTACTGGTTTAATTCGTAGCCACACTTGGTTCTTAGTTAGTCAAATCTAAACATTATAAATATTTTGTTTGATAACTTGTGTCCTAGCACTAATATTACCAGCACTCATCAGCTGTTGATACAAGAATGATTCTCGAATTTTGGTTCACCCCTCAGTTGAAGATTACTTTTAGTTATATGTAATTTTTCCTGACAGTTTACTGTGTGTGGACCCCTCTATTCTACTATATTCTAGAAAGTTGAAGTCTATTCCAGCTTCCAATATTTTAATGATATGTATTCAACAATCTGTAAATACGATTAAATGTATTTTCTTAAAAATGAAGCCACCATATATTTATAAATCATGGTGGTTCAAGTAATTATAGAATATTCTAATGTTCAAATATGACTCCACTCTCATGGGTGACACTAAGCCTTATGATGATGACAAATGGAATCTAGAGTGTTTCCGAAAGTAGGTGGAAGTGACTAAACCCTGAGGTAAGGTCCAAACCTCTACAAATAACGACACTGGTTGTTACATTAAAATCAAACAAGGGTTATAAATAACGTTTAAACGAAATGGACTTCAAACAGTGCTTGTTTGAAAAGAAAAACATACCAATACTAATTACTATCTATAATATATAAAATATCTGAACATATTTATTTATTTTTAATAAATTAATGAAATTCTGTCTATACATAAATGTCCATTAGAACATTTTTCGATCTTAAAATGTAGGCTCCAGTCAAGAATAGACTTCTTAAAAAAATTTTGTTTCACTGCATTGAATATGTCAGTGTGACGATAATTCTCATGTCTGTTAAACTTCGTTTCGTTGGTTAACTGAAAGAGAATCAAATGGATCGCAAATTGGTTTTAAATATTTGTTTGTCTTTTCAAGTAAAATCTCCCTTAACCCTGATAGCGGAATATTGAGAAAAGCTGATTTTGTCGTTAGATCTTTTTTTTTTTTTTTTAAATGATCAACCTCATTCAGCATGCTGTCTCGAATAGATTTGCAGTTTTTTTTCAATGCAATGACAAACTTAGGTTTAATTCTTGAGCCAGGTTACTATTGGACTTATCCATATTCTTATTACGGTACTGAAGACAGGAAGGTTGAGTACGTTGGGGCATGGGTTCCAGAGTGCTTAGTTCTGAACATTGTGGGTTCGATTTCCACCTGAGTTGGTTAATTTTCATCCTCCCAGGAAATGGATATTGATATTCTAACTCCATTAAGTACGCGGTAGCAACCTGTAGGTAGCCATCAGGGGTTGGCATAAAGGACCACGATTGTTGCCGGACTAGTTCTCCCACCAAGTACCATTACCAGTATCATAGTACTAAACAGATAAATAAATTTAACATTAAGACTGGGGAGTGATAGTTAATATTTCCAACTAATAGGTACCTATATATTATTTAAATTTTATTTTGCATTATATTTGTATTTAATTCATGTGGCTACAGTTGGTGCAATTCATGGACTCATATGTAAGACCATTTATTAACTAAAAATGTTACATTTGGTGTCAGATGGATAATTATTATTGCTCTGTTTATAATAATAAAGAAACTAAATTACTTATGATAGACTACATTAATATTAGAATCCCCCATAGCTCACTTTATGTTATAATAGAGTCAATCATAGCTTTATATGTCAAGTATCAACTTTTACCTCCCCTTCTCTCAGGTTTTGAAAATAAAATAAAGGTGATAAAAATAAATTACTAAAAGTTTAGTTTTCTAATCAAGCTTAGAAATGATTCCTCTTAAACATTATTTTTGTTAGTTAAAGACTGATTTTTTTTTTTTTACTTAAATCATTTTGTAGTAATTTTCTTTCATTTGTAAATGTAATTATAATACATTTTTAATGTTGATCTCCCTAGACATATTGGTCAAGAAAACTATTATTTAACAGGAAATTCAGTTTAACCATCTGGTAGCCACCCTTATTAAATAATTTATTGTAAATTGTACAAAATAATGTTGGTCAAATTAAATGTTCTCCTGGGCTGTTGTTTGGAGACTTTTATTCCAGGAACAAAAATCAGATATTTAGAAGAAGGACTTTGATTGATTTTCATTAGTTATATCATAGTATATTTTTATTTGTCTGTTTTCAGTTCGTTGAAGTTACAGAAGAGGCTAGCAGCCTCTGTTATGAGATGTGGTAAAAAAAAGGTTTGGTTAGACCCAAATGAAATTAATGAAATAGCCAATACAAATTCAAGTAAGCAATACTTGCATTTTATAATGTATTCAAATCATAGTTTAAAATTATTTTAATTAACTAACTTCTGCTTTTTTTTGACAGGACAAAACATCAGGAAGTTAATCAAAGATGGTTTTATTATCAAGAAACCCGTTGCAGTACATTCCAGGGCCCGTGTTCGTAAAAATACTGAAGCCAGAAGGAAAGGTAGGCATTGTGGTTTCGGTACAAGGAAAGGTACTGCTAATGCAAGAATGCCAGCGAAGGTGAGTCATTTTATTTTTGTTTATATACGTACAGTTTAATTCTGAATAGAGATAGGCGAATACTACTCTGAGTATTGAGTACCAAGTATTTTACTCAAATATTGACAGTTTTTGAGTACCAAAGAATGATTAACTGAAGTAGTGATTAAATTCTCATTAGGGATTCGAGTAAAATTATAGGTATTCGGAATTCAAAGTAGCATTTGTCCATCTCTGATTCTGAAGTATGTATTATTATTTATTGTTTTTATTCCTTAGGTGTTGTGGGTGAACAGAATGAGGGTTCTTAGGCGGTTACTGAAGAAGTATAGAGAAGCCAAGAAAATTGATAGGCAGATGTATCATGACTTATACATGAAAGCAAAAGGTATTTTTTTCTTATTTAGCCATTTTTAACTAAGCTACTGATACTTATTTTTTACCATTAAATTACAAGATTTCTTTTCTTGCTTGTCTTAAATGGATTGATATCAGAACTTCTTGAGTTAAAAATCTGAGCCATGCACTTACCTTATTTGAACATTATACGGGATTCCATATAGTTTTTATTGTTAAAGTAACCAATTTTTATGAATACTTAAGTTTGAGACTATATTTTAGAATAGGTTGATGAGTTAATGATGTCTAGTTATAAACTCAACGGAAATATTTATTATATTTAGCTGGTTCAAGTATTAAAGATGAGAATTAATGCTTATGACTAGTGACGTTAAGGGTGACAGATTTGAAACCCTCCCAAGGTACCTTCTCTGTGATATTTTATCCAGAAGAAGTGTGTCGAAGCTAACCCAAGTTAAGCCCCAATCATTTATTTACGTATTATATTTATGATAACAAACAATTTAATAAAAAATATCTGTTAAATTAAATAAACAAATTAGTTTCTAATTTCTATTTCTATTCTATCTAATAAAACTCTAATTAGTTACAGCCAATAATAATGAATAAATACCTAGTATTACATTATAAACTATTGGGTACTCTAATACTGGGTACCAAAAAATAGTTAGATAAGCCTTGTTTCAGGTAATAACCACTGGGTACCTGACACAACACCGCTTGTAATTTAAAAAAAAAAAATGCTATTATGTGATGGGGGCTTGACTTGTTATGTTTTTAAATAATGAATATTTTTGTTGAGATCAGTCAAATGAAATAAAACTGCTTGTTTTTTAAAATCTCTTTAAAAAAAAAATCTTTACAATTTTTCAGGTAATGTTTTTAAAAACAAGCGTGTATTGATGGAATTTATTCATAAGAAGAAAGCTGAAAAAGCTAGGTCCAAAATGCTCCGGTAAGTTAATAAGTTTTATCATATTTTTTAAGAATTAATTTTTTTTTATGCTTCCTTTTGCTTATAGGGAGGGATATGAATATAATGTATACTCTTGGTTCAATAGAAATTAAACATTTAAACCTGGACTCATTTCTAGTATAGTATTGAATACATCTGGAAAAATATGGGAGTTAAAGAATAAAGAACATTACCACTATTGTAGTTTTCTTTTAAGATGTTCTAGGATGAAGGCTTTATTAGATGCGGGAGAGAGCAATAAAAAGTTGCCAGCTTAATTAATATTTGGTTTTGATAAGTGGTTAAATTTTGATGAAAATGAGTTTTTTATTGGAATGTAAGTAGTTTACTTTGAAGCCACCAAACTATTACCTTGTTTATTGATTTTAAACAAAAGATTCAAATTTTTGAAGGAAGGAGATGGTCCTGGGTGGCGGTTATAAATAGTGTAAAACTATTTTATTAAAAGCCGACGTTTCGACCCGACTTTGCAGGTCTCTTTCAGGGCTAGAACGAACGAGATACAAAAAGATAAGATTTTGTCCGTTCTAGCCCTGAAGAAGACCTGCAAAGTCGGGTCGAAACGTCGGCTTTTAATAAAATAGTTTTACCACTATTTAGCCTATTTATTACCACCATCCTGGACCATCTCCTTCCTTTATAATGCAACGGTCAACTATTAAATATGTTTCAAATTTTTGGTTTGGAAATGTGAGAGAGTTAGGATCTGGTGCTTGTGATAATGAGATATGGAAGTATTGTGCCTCAGCACATTTTAGGGAAGATCGAGTTAGATTTCGAAGTGATTTGAAAGAGATGTAATCATCCGGATTACGTGTGTGTTTAAAACGCCTTCTAGCTGCGTCTCTTTTCTTCATAATCCAGGGAACAGTAGGACGTCTGAAGGTAGGGGTCTTTAGAGGTGCATTTTGATTCAGGAATAGGAGAAGATTGGAGGAATAGGAAAAGATGGGGGATCTAAGGATTGGGCTAATCTTTCAAGAAAAGGATTTAGTTTTATTGGGTCAATGAGCCAAGTTATCTGCTTAGGAGTGAATTTATGAATCGAGAGTAGATGGATGCCACCAATAAAACATTTGAATGAATTAGTCTGCTTTGCTGACATGTTCTGAATTGAAATTAATCACCAGATACATTTCTAAATTTACTTATGTGAAACCTACCAGTTTATCATATAAAATATGTTTACAATTATGAAAAGATTTTTATACAACTGTGTGAAGAGCAAATTGAACAATTGAATCTTTGCAATTTCAAATTTTATTAACACCTTTCTAGAATTGTGGGACCTAAATTTTTTATGAAAACTTCTTCCATTTTTTCATTTGAAGTTCCACCCACTTGGCCTGGTACCACTGGTTTTTTCCTTCAGTTGTAAAAACTGTTTCCTGTCTGTTGTAAGGTTCAATCCAAGATACAAACTTCGATGAAAATGATTAACATCCTTCTGACATTTTAAATAAACAAAAATATGTACTCTTGCAAAGAACATAACCAACGAACTTAGTATGATGTTTACATGGGAAAAGAAGGGGAAAATGATTTCCAGTAATTGGTGAAATTTATACAGATAATTATTGAAGCGGAAGATATGTAATTAATGATTAGTCTACAAATGTGGTTGATTTGTTTATTGATAATAAACCTGCGATTATAATCTTGAATTGCATATTCAGTTTTCCCTTTTAATTTGTTTATATAAATATTCGTTTACACATATATATTTTATTTATTTAATCAAATTATTCATAATATGCATTTATCCTCAAATATGAAAAATAATATTTGTCCAACTGCATCAGAGTGTACTAATTCGTATAGATATCTGATCAGTGGTTAGAAAAAAATCCTGTAAACAAAATATGCAGTTGAATAAAAATCTACTACAAAAATTAAAATTAGTTCTGAATTATAGGCAGTGTTTGTTGTTACACTGATTTCATCGTTATTATCTTAGTAACAGATTTCCAAAAGATAGTTATTAGCTTTATCACAGAGAACTGTTTTAATTACTAATATGACAATTTCTATAGATCAAAATGTTGAGGTAAAATTCCAAAATGAAAACCTCTTCCTTTAACTTAAAGGTAAAATGGGCTGTAGTAGCATAACTTACTACTTATTCTGAATTAAACTACACCTTCCCGCTTCACCAATCCTCATCGCTGATATCTATTTTCCTTCTGTGATCCCCGTTCTCGTTCCTGTGGATCATACTAGTTTCATAAGAAAGGGTTTGAAAATTAATTTTATTATGTTTCCTTTGTGCAGGTGGTCGAGGATCAGATTTTTTTCTTTATGTGATAATATATTATAATTTTCTTTTTTAGTGATCAAGCTGAAGCCAGGAGGCAAAAAGTTAAAGAAGCAAAGAAGCGGCGAGAAGAAAGGATCACAATGAAGAAACAAGAAATATTACAATCTTACCAGAGGGAAGATGAAGCTGCATCAGCTAAAAAATAAATGTTTTTTAATGTGATCCTTCGGGAAATAAATTTTTTTTTTAAAACAAAGTATTTCCTTTTATTTTTCCCATTCAGTACTTAAATGAGACTACATTTATACTACAGAGATGAGATTACATGGAGAATTAAATATCCTGTGGTCATTCATGTCCTAATTCCAAGAATTTTTATTTCATTACGTATCAATTATCGATATAGCTCCTAAATATTTAAGAGAACAAAGATTTTTTTTAATTTTCTCTTCAACCTAAAAGAGATTCTGTTGCAACCTATTTTCCATGAAATATCTCCAGTAGTTATAGGAATCTTGAGTTTTATTTAGGCATTTGGTTAAAAATGTATCTGTTAACATTTTTAATTGTCTGGAGAATTATGTTCACAGCAGTAGTGCATTGCATTTTTATTCTGTGATGGTTCTTGTAAACAATTACATGGTGTTTTATCATTCACATGTAGTCTTGGACATATTCTGCTACTGCTATTAGCATTAAAGTTAAATAAAAAACAAATATAATCATTCATATTTATTAGTAACTAATGTATGGGTGATAGTCAGTTTAAAGGTTTTTATTGGTGCTGACGTTTTAACTCAAACACGTGGGTCATCAACAGGGCATTTCGAGCTCTGAAGGTGTACTGTTTTACATTTTTTACTATTAAATTTATATCCTTTCTGACAAATTAAAGGAATAATAAATTCTCATTTTCTTACCTCTATGAATATCCATAGATTTCATCTGTATTGTGTACTTTTTTTATGTACAAAAGAAATATTCATCGATTGATGACTTCTGAATAATTCCTCATTTTTATGCTCTCATTCCAATTATACAGAAGATTTAATTCAAACTGAATTAAATATCTGTTTATGAAATAGTTTGTTCCTGCATCCTTTGTTAATTATGTTCCATTTTAATATTTCTTTATAAGGAATTATAATTTTGATTTCAGATTAAATCTATTTAAAAATTTGGATTCAAATAAGCGATTTTTGTTAGACAATTGTGATTGCATTTCATTCTAAACCAAAATAGAAACAATATCACTGTTTATATTATATACTGTCGAAACAATTAGTGTTAAGTAACTCAGTGCAAAATTGAAATTCCTTCATCAGTTTATACAAAATATGATTGTCGATCCTGTGGTAAAAATGAAGCCACTTTAAAGTGTTGACCAATTTCCTAGAACTTTTAAATGGTCTTCATGTGATAACTCAAAACATGCGTAATTTGCATTAATTACAATGCTTCGATACTTTTCTGTCTCTCCCCATGGTACCTCATTAAAGAGATTCATTAATGAAAATTAGCAAATTGATTTAAGGTTTCATTTGGTCAATTTTGATGTAGATAGTCATTAGCTGTAAAGGCGTGGTTGTGATCTTTTTAACACTTCTGTTTCAGTATTTATTAAACCATGCTTCGAAATTAAGTTTAATTTTAATTATTAAGTGCTTGAAGAATGGAACAGTTGATAATATAATGAATTGTTTGTTTATTTGCTATTGTTTTATTTATTCATACCCTGACATGACATTTCATGCAATGAAACCAGATGTTTGATCGAAAGAAACATCATGTAACCATTTCAACTCGCTATTACAAAAAATAAATATTTTGCTGAATTTTAATTCTTGTACTTTTCCTGATGATACGAGTTAATTTATTTTCCTATCACTTAAAGGATTATATACTATTAATAATTATAAATTAAACCTTTGGTTTCAAAATTAAATCATCAATCGGCTCTACAACCCATCACTGGGTTTCATGTCACAGTTATGTATTATTTATTTTTGTACAGGTTAAGACTGATACCAATATATTTTGTTTTAACTCAAAAGTTTTCTTTCTAAGTAGTTCCTTTATATTTTTTACACTTCTTTAAACAACATTTTAACTTCCAAATGACTGCTTAGCTGAAAAAATAACTCTTTTTTTAAAATATTTATATTGAATGAAAAACTTTAAAAATATATTAATATGTAAACAACAGATTGTGGAACACATGTTATGATGACCTTCAGAAATGAAAAATGAGACTGATACATACATTGATTTTATTTTTAACCTGTGCATTAGAGAAATTTTATAAATTGAAAATCAATGATAATTTTCATTCACCATTATGAAGGAAGGGGAGCAGAAGATAGAAAAAGTCGATACATGTGACGGCACTAGTGTTGTTGTTTTAAGGCTACCACTTTCAGCATGCCCAAACTTATGTAGGGCAAACTGGTTTAAGATATTAGTGAATATTGCATTGGTTGTGTTCTACCACTTTGCAAAGATGCAAATCTTAGGTCAAAATAATGTTAATAAGGATTCGGCTTCATTTTTGTTTCTCATTGCCATTAGCATATGGTTATCCAACATCAATTTAGAGCCCAGATGTCTTAATTTCTACAGGCCTTTTAAGTGGTTTTATGATGTATGTATTTTGATAAGTTAAAGAGCATTATAAACATTTTTAATCATTCAAATTTTATTTTTCCTTTTTTTATTATTTTAGTATCTTGTAATTTTTACAATGTATTGTACTGCTGAGGTAGGCATGTGTAAAAGTTGAGAATCAAAACCTCACAAATTATAAAAATATTTTTCATTTTTTTCTGAATGCAAAATAGTCATTCATTCAAAAAAATTAGCATCATTGATTCAACATTTTTCATAGCATTTCGAACTGGTTATTTGTAAATATGAGGTTTTATAAGATATGAAAACCTGTAAGTGAAAGTAATTTATTTATTGAATAAAAATACAAAAAATTCAAGTAAAAGACTTTTCCAGAATTAACATTTAATCGCCAGATGGAGGCACTAATCACTGTTGAATAAACAATTAGTTTTTATTTATCCATTCAGTAATTCTATTTTTTCTAATAGATTTTATTTACAAAAAAAGATTTTCATTTTTTGTTAAGTGATTTAACCATCAGTTTAAAATATATAAAAAAATATTTCATCTTCTGCAATAATAATCAAAATAGTTTGTTTCAGATATTCGCTGTAACTATCTTCGCTAATTTCATTCTTGATACTATATGGAAGCAGATAGTGTTATTCTTAAATACTATGGTCGCCATTGCTATAAAATATGTAAGCTGTAAATTCTTATTTATTTTAAAATATATTTTTCTTGTCTTTATAAATATTTGACATTGCACTTGACTATATTATTAATTATAATTTTTTTAGTTTTGCCTAGAATTGCTCTTAGCTTTACTGAGGCTCCTTTAATATTGCTGGGTGTATATCAAAATTTAATATGAAAAACCTACTGCGGTTTAAATTAAAAGCTCTTCAATAACCACTTGAACAATCTGTATCCAATGTTCTCTTTAAAAAAACGGGAAATTTTTTATTCAATAAATGAATTTTAAAAAATGTGGATGAAAAATTCCTTCTAGAAATTGCTTTTATACTTTCAAGGAATCACATTTAGGGCTTTTATGAAGAGGAAATTAAAAGAAGAGAATTTTGTTCATTGGAATATTTATATATAAGTCTAGCAGCATATATATTATTAGTCAATAGCAGAATTTCATCCATACATTTTATTTTTTAACCTTTTCAAGGAAAAAGTAAGTCATTCAAATTTCTATTTTCTTTATTGATTTGTCTGAATGATGTTTCGAGTCATTTGGATCATCCTCATGTTCATTTTTGTGCTTCAACAGTCATTTATTTACAATGATAGTAACTGTATAAATACCTAAATACAAAAAAGAAACTTTAGAATGAGTCAAAGGAAATATAATAAAAAAATAATTTACCTTTGGAACAACTCCCGTTATAATAATTACAATGTTTTTATTTCAAGTACAATGCATGGCTCAATATTTACTTTTTTTTTTATTTCTAGCAGCAAGTATGGAAATTAATGTTATTTACATTAGCACAGCAGTTTGATTTGAAGTTGACGAAGGAATAAATTTTGTTTAATAAACAATTTAATAACTGTAGGAATACTAAGAGGAGGATTGATGAATGATTGAGATGAGCGAAATTTTCTAAGAGGTAGCAGAGTTTTTTGGTTCTTAGAACCTAGTAGAGAAAAATACCTAGAAGGTATTGTCGATGGAAATATATATAATATAGCAACTTCCACTCATTACACCAAAAGGAAACATGACAGCATCTGGGAATCAATCAGACGGCTTATGCAGACAAATGAATAACGAAATAGAAATTAGAAGGGTTAAATTTCCTTTCCTTGAAGTTATTAAATAATAAAATAAGAATAAGACCCTATGAAAAATTTGCTCCCAACAAGATATAATTGTATTTATTTAAATTTTATTATTCGTATTAATGCAATTGAAATAATTATTTGAACAATCTCAAATATTTATATATTATTTCTTTTAATTTTTTCTTTGTTGCAAGTTAGAAGAAAGCTTTTTAGCAAGTTATATTTACGATTGGCTAGACCCTGAAAACATTATTTGTTTACCTGATCTAGTGGCATTGCTTTTCACCTTATGGGTGCTACACAGCTTTGATTTGTGGTGTATGATATGCAATTTAATTAATTGGTAAGACACAGGATTGTAAAATTAAAATTTTACTTAAAAAAAAAAATTTGAAAATGCTGAATTATGAAGTATGTAACATGATTATAATTTTTTGTTTACTGACTCCAATTTTAGGGTACGGTGTGGTCTATTTTGTTCATTGAAGGAAAAAATTTCACCCCGCAAAGATATGCCTTACCACCGCAACAGAATGAGGAGATAATAAAAAATAATGAAATGGGGATAAGTGAAAGTCCTGAAAAAAATTTTTTAACAAATGTGATGAAATGTAAAATAAAAAGTTCTCAAATAATTTTAATTTTTGTATACAATGGATCTAAGTTATAACAATATTTTTTCACTACCAAAGGTTGAAGAAATATGGTAATAGGTTGAAAATACGTTTGTAAGATTTTACTAATTTACATTTCGTATGGTCCCAAGAAGTTATTTTGATATCTCCTATTTAGGGTTGCCCATCCCCCCCCCAAGGCCGACGGCGCAAGAACCTATCTCCCTTCCCCTCTAAACATATTTTATGGCTCCCCTTTTTATAAAAAAGAGCAAGGGAAAGTAGAATTAGAAAAATCGTAGATTATACGATTGCTGCAGTCTGTTTCATGTTTTCATCTCGTCCCTTATTCTAAAACTTTTCAATCCAAAAATTCATAACACTGTTGAAATATGCCTCCAAAAATACAAAAACCCGTTAAAATATGACCTGCTCAAAAAGTTTGATGGCGCAAGTGAGGCCCACCCAGCCTAAATAAAGTGGGTACTTTTATAATAATTGATTAAGGGGAAAAACCTAGCGGTTGAGCGTGATCCTGGCTCGATCCCCTCTCTGCACAACTGTAGGCCTTGAAACAGTACTTTCTCTAAATAGTACTGAACCCAAGACCCTTCATAGGTTGTAATGGTACACGTTTTACTACTTATTAAATGGCTTATTTCAGATTTTTTTCCATCAAATTATGGTATATGCTTATAATGAAGATAAACAAATCATTTATGTACCATAGTGGTTGTTATGGATACAGGAAATGTAATTAGAGATCAATGAAGCTCTCCTCTTCTCAAAAATGATGCAAATAGAAGTAGAATTATAAAAATTGTAGTTTATTTATAATTACACTTTCTCCCAGCATGAAGCAGTTCTGTAAACTTCTGATGGCTCTGAGGTGTAGCCTGTTCCCTCATTACTTAGTTGCTTTGTTGATTCATGATTTGGATCACAATGTATGGAATATAATGATGAAACATGTCAGGTATAACAAACAACTCTGGCAGTAGAAACAGCTTTGCTAGGAACATTGTTTGTCCCAAGCATGGATGAAGACGAGTGGTTGTAAGTCTGAACAATTCACCTCATAAAAAGACGGTCAATGAAAACTGCTAATGTTTTTTTGTAGGGCAATGGTATAGAATATACCCATGGGGGCCTACCTATTCAGGTTCACGTATGGAGTACTTACTGACTGGGACCCCAGGGGGCAATTATATTTTTTTACTTTCCTACCTTTAATAGGTACGGAAAGTATTGCGATCGGGTCAAATTTCTGATGTGCCGTTTTCGACAGATCTAAATGTTTCATAGCCCCCTAAGTCCAAAAGACACATTTTCAGACACTGGTAATACTGTCTGTGCCAAGATTATCTTGGGCAATAGTTAACCGATTTTGTTGCTTCTTTTTTTATTTTGTAGGATTTTGACTACTGAAGCCTGTGACATAAATTGTATTCTATAGACTGTAGCACAAAAACAGCAAACGATTTTGACGAAACTTTGCTATAATTTTCTAATTAATGTCCTTTCAATTTTTGTACATTTCCAATGTACAATTCCCAAGAAAATTCAGAAAAATAAATTTTAAAGAAAAGAAAAATGTTTTGGGGCCTAACTCGCTAAGTATATATTCTATGGTAAAATATATATGAAACCTTTTGAAAGGTAATTAAATTATCTAAAAAGAAAAAAAAAATCATCAGAATCAAATCAGTATTAGCATGATGCAGCATATTCTACTTTCTACACGTTTTAATTTATTACTTCCCTACCTATACAAGGTAAGAGAAAGTAAAAAAAATCTAGTGCCCTCATCACGCAAGTTTCACTTTCCCCTTTACTTTCAACAGAAATTATTATCTGATAAAATTAGGCTATTGCAAAAAAGTTTTTGATTAGCAATGTTAAGTGTACTAAATTTTTTTATGCTGATCTTTCACAAGCAAGTTGACATTGCTGTAGTATACCGAAGAAATCGTACTCAAATATTTTCTTTGATCAATTTTCTTTTGTTTGATAAAAATAAATTTAATTCAATTTTTTTTGTTTTTTAAAGAACATATTTAAAGATATTAATTTTTTTTCTGAAGTCGGTTGGAAAGTTGTGTGAATGGATACACCAGATATTTTTTCTAGATACACATACCTCACCATTTCTGAAATATGGCGCTTATTCTAGAGGTACAACCAAACCTATTCTGACCAGACTGGGAAGGTTGAGATTTATTCTGTGAGTCTGCCACAAATTAAATTTTAACCTGCCCAGGCAGGATTCTAAGTGGGGTCGTTAGACTCTAGAATGCATTTAGGCTTTAACAAACTCAGCCATCATGAACTCAGGGGCAATAACCTGTTCACCGTAAATGGTATACAGGATATTGAGTCATCTAACTCAGTTAACTAAGATGATTAGGGCTTGAGGATAGAATAAAGCGGGAAAAGCTTGAAGAAGATGGGTATAAAGCGAGGGAGACGTTTTACAGCTGATGTGGAAGAAGATATCAGCAGAGACCATGGTTCTTCAAAGATTGTAGAGCCCAGCAATAAATGTATGAATGTGAGGAGAAATCTTTATTCTCAATCAAGAATGAAGTTCAAGGACTACCTCCACTGTGATGGAGGCTACTTTAGATCTGAGAAAACATCGTATTTTGTAGCAAATGGTTTACACTGATTTTTAATAATTTATTTTTTAATTACATCATATTGAGCACAAATAAATGTTATACAAATAGTCCCTAGTAAAAAATAATAACAAAAGAAAATAAACAAATAAATAAAAATAGAAAAATTAATCTTGTTAAATTTTAAATATAAAATTGTAATAATGAACTTAAATAAAAAAAAAGTTTAAATAGGCACTAATTAATGAATCAGAAGTAGAACCTTATGATCAGTTCTTCTTAAATGTGAAAATATTAAATAACTATAAAGGAAAAAAAAAATTATATGAAAAATAAATAATTATTTACTGAAATAACATGAAGCATAAGTCTAATATTTTCTAAAAGGAAGTAAATTGCTTATATCAGATAATATGATAACTTCAACAATATGACAAAATAAAATTTTTCTATCGATGTTTCTTTTTAAATTAATTGCATCTTTTTTAGACTTCACATAAACATATGCATGACACCTGAAATCATATACATAATGTATTAATATTATAATAAAGATAAGTAAAATAAAATGAATGAGTTTTTAATTTATATCTTATAACTCTAATTTTATTATTAATAAATTATACACTAATGTAATATACTATATAAATGAATTAATATATTTAATTGTAAGTAAAAAAACACAAAATGATTGTGTATCCTTAAATTTATATGTGACAGATTTTGCATAACTGCAACAGATTATGCTTAGTTCATAAACACTTTGATCACACTTGTCCAAACCACACGTATTTCTTAGACTCATTTTTGAAAAACCCGCGTATTCCCATTGTAGAACTTTCTTATTAACAAATTATTTATTTAAAATTTGTTAATTATTATTAAGTTTAGTTACAACAGTAATTAATCTGGAAGAAAATAAGTTTGGATTGTTCTTTAAGGCATGTTAAAAAAAAAAATGCTTTTAGGAATAAAATTTTTATTGACACGTGCTCACATGTAGTAGCTGTAAATACGTATATACTTTGGCATATTATATAAGGACCAGAACAAATATTGAGAAAGGCCTTCATGACTTATTTAATTTTTGAAAACTATCGACATGACATATACAATAAAATTTAAAAGAACTGCAAGAGACTACAGAGACTTAGCGTAAATGACCCCAGTGGTCGAAACAATCAAATAAATAAATATTAAATATTATATTTTATAACTGTATATAAAAGATTTTGTTATCATTTGGATAATAAATAATTTGAAGTTATCTGTTGTCTTTATATTCTTTATTCGAGTTTTTCAAATAAAAGTTGGAATAATTGAATTTCAAATTACTTTTAGCAAGCCTTTTTTAGAATTGAGCAATCGTCTGTATAGTTTATTTAATTTCTTAGATATAAGGATCCACTATGTTCTTGTCGTCGGCGCTTTTTATGAAAATACTATCAGATTTGAGATTGGGCAAAGAATTTTAGTAACTTTTTAAATTTCTTCAATATAAGGGTCCACTATTATGTTGTCAAGGACACTTTTTACGAAAATACTGTCAGATTAAAGATTGTGCAAGGTAAGTAGACTCTTCTATCGATGAAATAAAAAAAAGTGAAAAATTGATGCACAATAGTGCAATCTTAAATTAAACCCAACACGATTTTTATAATAGTGACCCGATAACATAATTGTGGACCCTTATATCGAAGGAATTCAAAAAGTTACTAAAATTCGTTTCACAATTACGTATTCTTACATCCGATAGAATTTCAATCAAAAGTGTTCCCGCCAACATAAGAGTTTAATCATATGTTGAGGAAATCCAAAAAGTTAAAAAAAAATTATATATTAAGTAAGATTCATGGGCATGAGCATATAATAGCTGTTGCTGTTTAGCATAGTAGTCTTCCCCAGCAATTAAGTGCTATTTGAGAGATTAATCAAGAAGGCTATAAGAGACGGAATCACCAGGACAGTAAACGGGTAATTTTAATCTTATATCTTTGTCACTTTAATTCTATTTTGACTCAAATTTATGGATTTCTTTTCCTCTGCAACTAATTAATTAGTTAAAAATACAGGCTCTGCATAAAATTTAGCCATAAAAATAGCATTAAGAAAATTCAAATGATAACTAATAATGAGAAATTACTATAAGCACATTGCTTAGGATTTAAAACTAAAGAACATCCAATAATGAAACTTAGTTACTTACTCTTGTATTTTTCTGGTTTCTATTAGCCTTATTCGGAGAACTCTAGCAAATTTTGCACACAAGTCACACAAATATTCTTCAGTTATATAAAGTGGAAGGCCAGTGACAACAACAATTTGGGAAAATTTCTTAGGTTGCCTAGCTGTAGGAAAAATATAATATATAACTAAACTAGGAATAATTTAGCTAATGTTATAAATCTGTCTCAATACATATTCGTCTGCAAGGCGGTAATTCGTCATTTATATATTACAGAAAATAATTGATTCTTGTAAATTCCTTTTTTTTATCTTTAAACTAAATTTAATTGATTTTTGTTCTTTTAATTGTAAATAAATTCATTTTAATTTTTACTACAGATAAAGAGATGCAGGTATTTGTTGAATAGCAGTGTGAAAAATTACAGAACAAATTAAAAAAAAATATATATATATTATATCATAATAGCTAGAAAAACAATGTAATTATTCTTGTGATGAATGAATGAATTCAATCTCTTGATAAAAATTCTTAAGGGAGACCGCTATTTAAAGAACAATTTTTAATTAAATGCTTTTAAAACCTCCTTTTTAGAGATAATCTAGGTGACACGGACAAAGAAAACTAACCAAAAATGGTTAGTTACCTCTCAAAATTGAATCTTTATTTTATAGGATTAGGTCATTCTGATAGTGAATACATAAGAATGTTTCTCAGATAATCAGTGATAAAAGCTAAATTCTATTCAGTCTAAAGAAACTGGAGATTTACAGTAAAAAGATAGATAACATCTTAAAATCAAAAGGTTAAAAAAAAATATATATATACAATTAACTTTGGACAGCTCTCTTTCTTTTGGTTCTTTTACTTGAATAGTTTATCAGTTTTTAAATTTAAATTTAGTAACCAATTTTAAGAGTGACTAATTAAATTTCTTTGGTGTACGTATTATGTCTTTAAAAGTCCAAATTTATATAATTACATATGTACTTGCCTAGTCCTGTCATAAATATTTTTACAAGAAAATATATACAGATTTCAACACAAAAATTAATTTTTTCAAAAATTTTACTAGAAAATAAAATATGTATCTATAAAGAGTAAACCAAAAAAGAAATTACACAAAATGGCTCCCTTTTGCTTTGACACAGGCATTTAATCACCGTGGCCAGTCATCAATAGCAGCACGCAGCACATCTTGAGGAAAGCGCTCAACTGCTCAGACCAGAGATTGCTTGAGGCTTTCTAGTTAAGGTGTGCTCTGTGGCATGCTATCCTCTCCAGTTCGGACCGAATCCTATAATCTAGAGGGTTGAGATCAGGGCTTCCTGAGGGCCAATCCGCGGCAGAGATGAACTCTGGAATGTTCTTTTGCAGCCACTGCTGAGTTGACCTGGCCTTGTGAGCTGGAGCGGAATCCTGTTGGAAAACCCAATAATAGCTTCCAATAACTTCCAGCAAACAGAGTATCATTTAGAGGCTTGACAACAGGTTCCAAAATATCGTCCTAATAGTTTTTAGCAACTCTTTTAACTCCTTTTTCACAAAAAATGAGCTTTGTGGGGCCATCAAAGGAAACTCCTCACCAAACCATCACTGAGGAAGGGTGATGACCTCTTTCCACTCTTACTATGGCTTCCTGGGCTTCTTTAGAGCTGTGTGTGTACACATGATCATTTTGGCGATTAAATTTTTCTTTAATTGTAAAAATTTTCTCATTGCTAGACAAAATCTTTCGATGAAGACAATTAGTGTGACAGCCAAGGAGCACTTGGCATCTATCCACTCTAATCTTTAGGGAATTTAGGGAAGTGGTTAGCCTTTGTCCTATCATTTTTCAAAATGCAGTCATCCTAAGGTCACTTTTTATTATGTGAGACATTGATTTGACAGAGATTCTTATTTTCCGAGACATGATTTGTTGTTTTGGATTGGGATTTCTTCTGATTCCAGCAGCCACTGCTCTCACTGCAGACTGCGGGGACGCTGAAAGACAATGAAGCCAAGTTTCATTCATGTGGAGTTGTATAGTGAATATCAAGATTTGAGTATCTCCAACTTCGCCAGGTTGCAGAGACTAAAATGTATTGGTCATGACATCAGGAAAGAAGACTACAGGTACCCTTTAAAAGAGTACAGGAACTAGCCAGGAGGGACAAGAACCAGGGGAAATCACAATCACGCTGGCAGGATAGTGTCCTCACAGACATGAGGCAGGCAGGGATGAGTACATGCTGCAGGTAGGGCCGTCAAAAGCAGGCCAAGGACATTAAAGAATATTTTGCCCTAGGTTTTAGGCCTTCATCTGGACAAAATGCATCAGAATCCTAAGGCAAACAACAAATTTGTGTATCCACTTATTTGTGTTATTTCGTTCATTATAACTGCACCTCCCCAACCAACTTCTACTATTTGATTTACTGTAAGCAATATCCCCACCAACATAACACTAATAGTTTTGTTACATTTGCATTAATGTTAGAATTACTGTTACTACTACTTCCATCAGGTACAGTGAAAGTAAAGAACTAGATCCTTGTAAAGAACCAGATATAAATGTCCACCTTTTAATTTATATGTTAACTTAGATTATTAACAATAATTGATAGGGAGTATTATTTTATGATTTTTAATAAAACATTTTAATAAAAAATAACAATGTAATTCATTGTGTAAAGGAAAAAAAATCACATACCAATAACATAATGCTCATAAATAGTCATAGCAGGCAGAAGATATGGTTCGTTAAACTCTCTTTTTACAACAGGTTTATCTGAAATAAGAATGTGTACATAATAACAACAGTTATTTGATACAAGACTACACTTCAACTAATTTAGTTCTTTAGAACAATCAATAAGAGAAGAAAAGGTCTAGGCAGCAATATAGAATGGAACGTCAATTAGTAAAAACTATTTATTGAATATTGATTTTCTTTTAAGTTATAATAGTGCTTATGAACTAAAGATATTATTTACCAGCTAACTTTTGGTAATAATTGTTTTTTTGTACTTAAATTTTGTTTAATTGTTTTTACCTCTTTCATCGTGATTATTTTATATATTTTTTAATACTTAATTTTCACCCAATATGATCAGCTTGACCCTAAGTTTAACTGCCACACTCTCACTTTTATTTCCCTTCTGATTCTTGTCAGTACTCGGTTATACTTATTGTGCCCGAGGTAAATAATTTATCATATTACTAGTGTTTATTTTATTCACTATCTTATTCTATTCATTTTCTTATTTAGATCTTTTGTTTCTTGTTATTTGATTATCTATTTAAGCTTGTCAAATGCTTCTTCGTTTATTCAGCACTATTAAAGCCATGCAAAGTGGGTCAAAACATAGGCTCAATTGAATAGTTTTTACTATTTGAGGTTCCAGTGGCATAAATATTAAAAAAAAATTCCCATCTCCAACAGTCTAATTCAATGTAAAACCCTGTATGTACAATCCTACAACCCAACCCACCATGCTCAGTTCTCGGAATCCTGGCTTGATCTATTTATCCTAGATTCCACAGACAAACTCAGCACCTGGTCCCGTTTTTATCTTCCCACGACCTTATCCCTGTCCCATCCTTTTCTCCCCGAATAATATCCTTCCGGAACCTAAATTCCCTCACTCACGAAACACTGTCAAAAGATCTTGACAATATCCAGTTTGATCCCATTTACTCTTCAAAATCGATCGACTCCATGGTAGAAACCCTTACCTCTCATCTTCACTCTATCCTCGACCAACATGCTCCTCTTATCACAAAAACCATCCGACATCCTTCCACTCCTTGGCTTACTCCTGCTTTAAGAGAGTGTATGAGAGAAAGAGATGCTGCAAGACGACGGTTTAAATGAACTCGACTTCATGAAGATTTTCTCTCCTTCAAACAGCTTCGAAACAGCACTCAATCAGCAGTACGCCATGCTAAATCCCATTACTGCTATCATTCCTTGTCTAACTCCCCTAATACCAAGGCCACGTGGGCTATTCTCAGAAAACTGACCGCTAGTAATACACCTCAGTCCCAGTCCATTTCCGCTTCTGCCGATAACCTCAACGCTCACTTTGTCTCCTGCCCTTTCGTAACCACAACTCCTGCGTCCGATCCGGCTCAAATGTTTTTCTCTTTTAATCCCGATCACTTCTTTATCAAAGCCGCACTACCATCAATTCTTACAATCCTTTATCATATCTATAATTATCCTTTTCAGAGTGCTACCTTCCCTACATCCTGGAAAACTGCCATAGTACGCCCTTGAAGAAGACCTCTAACCCATCATCTCTTAATGATTTTCATCCAATTTCTCTTCTTTCAAACCTCTCCAAACCTTTAGAACGACTAGCCCAATCCCAGCTATCCCATTTTTTAGAGCACAATAATCTCCTAGACCCCTACCAATCCGGCTTTAGGCCTGGCTACTCTACTCAGTCTGCCCTAATCAAAATTTCCCAAGATCTTCATACAGCCATAGATCAGCAGCAACTAACTATCATTTTTCTCCTAGATTTCTCTAAAGCTTTTGATTCAGTAGAACACAACATCCTCCTAACCAAACTTAAAAATATATCCTTTTCTTCTAGTGCCCTTAATTGGTTCCAACATATCCTAACCGGTCGCTCCCAGTACGTTGTGATCCCTAATAACCCCCCATCTGAATCTCTACCCTTGTCCAGAGGTGTACCAAAAGGCTCTTCCCTATCCTCCAACCTTTTTTCCATCTATATAAATGACCTCTCATCCTCAATCCTGCACTGTCAATACCACGTGTATGCTGAAGACATTCAGATTTACCTCTCCTTCAATCCGACCAATTCCTCAGATGCCATTTTAAAAATCCAAGAAGATATTAATAGAATAAGTGAAGGGGATAACCTCAACAGGCTCATTCTGAACGCTGAGAAAATGAAAGCCATCTTGATTGGATCTCCCACACTCCTCAAATCCTTCCTGGCATCCCTCAATCTTCTCCTGAACAACTCGCCTATCTTATTCCATACTACCGCTAAAAACCTATGTGTTACTTTTGATCAAACCCTCTCCTGAAAACCGAACATCTCCTACATTTCCCATTGCACTATATCCACCATAAAACAGTTCAATCGCCTACATTATCTCTTTCCATATAAGTCTGGTCAACTCCTAGTTTCCTCTCTTGTTTTTCCCATTTCGACTATGGCTGTATGGTGTATGGTGGATTATCATGAGATCTCGAGGCCAAACTTAAGTGCCTAATGAATTGCGCATAACATTTTGTCTTCGGAATCTCAAGAGATTCCGCATATTACCCAGTATTGCATTGTTAAGGCAGTATTTTTTTTGTTAAAGGCACTACATGCATAATTTGTTTATTATGAATAAGAGTATAACTATCCATATTTTTATTTTATTTTATTATTTTAATGGAATTTACAACTGTATTACATAGAGAATACAATATGTAAATGAGAAATTTGTAACATGGCATGTACAACATGAAGAGAAACTACCCATTGGTAGAATTCAAATTAAAGTTCTATATTAGAAGATCCCGAGGCCATCTTCTTTTCAGACGCCTCGGAGGGTTATCAGGGATCGAGGAGAAAGCAAGGTTTGAAACGAGAGGATTCGGATGGTTCTGCAGTTTGTTATGGAAGGAAAGGTATCTGGATTGGGCCAGATCGGAATCAATAATTTAAAATTTAAGTAGGCATTAGTAAAATTACAGTTTAAAATATTTACCATATCTGGGTTTGTAAAAACTCGGTTTGGGTGTTAACCAAAGATTTGATTTTCTTCTGTCATTCTCCAATCCATTATAATCACAATTGGCCAAATTTTCATGAAAAGATTTTGACCTTTTTAATTGAGAAAATGGAGTACTATATTGATCGTTTTCCTCTTTTGGTTTATCTACAATTTCTTTTTCAAATAATGAATCAAGAGATCCACCTTCATTATTTTCAGATTTGATTACTTTCTTTATTAGTTCTGCTCTTTTAGCTTCATCTTCTACATTCAACCTGCCAACTGATTTAGATCTTGGACGAAATGGAATTTTTTGTTTAAATTCCATTGTTATGGTTTGTTCAGTAGACTTTGGTTCTTCGATATTATCATTCTTTGTTTCTGTATTTTCTTTTACATCAGATTTGTCAGTTACTGTGGAATTATCAACCTTTTCAACACTTATGTTAGTTATTGACATGGATCGTTTCCTCAATGGGTGTTCTTCCTCCTCTTTGGAGAACACATCTCTCTCTGTTTTATCACTAATTCTTTTACTTTCATGATACGGTTCAAATTTATTTCTAACTCTCTCCCCCACTGATTTAGCTCTCTCTCTCGCACCATAGGAAACAACAGCCCGGGAAGTTTCTCTGGGTTTAGCCGGCTTTGCATTGAAATCAGGGTCAGAAGATAATGCATCTAAGCAAGCCCTAGCTTCTTCATATTGTTTATAATATATAAATATCAAATTTTTTCCTCCTTTTTGAGCTTCATGTACTTTGCCAAACTTCCTAAGTTCCTCATTGATCTAAAAAACAAATATACATCACAATAATCATGCTAGAATATTTTTTATTAATAGTTGTTAGTAATTAATAACTTAATCATAACTAAGTATAAAATTTATGAATAAGAAACTTTCTCAGGAACGAATAATTCTTTAACTCACAAACAATTTGAGTAATTGTTTAAAATACCTGATTCTGCTAACAAAATTAACTTATAAGATTAGCTAAAATTGCAGAAAATTAGTTGCCAAGAAAATATATCATATTGTACTCACATAGGAATCTGGATAGTCCTTATTGTTGTATATCATAACACCATAACAACCATTAGCAGCTAAATGTAATGCCATGGTATAATATTGTAGGTAAAATAAAAACAATCAGTGCATAAAAATAATTATTGACAAATAAACAAAATGCAAACACTGCAGCACTTGTAAACAGGAAAATATTATTTCACAGAAATAATCTCAAAGCCGAAAAGAACATAAATGTAGAACTTTTAATTAACAAAACTACTAACTGGAGTACCACCTTGGAATTATACGAAGAACTACATCAAGGAAACTAACAATGTTACCTTCCGAATCTCACATCAATATTTACAGTATATAAATTTAAGAAATTAATCTAAAACCAATAAATAATTAAAAGTACGTGAATTATTGAAGATTATAATTAAAATGGAAATAAACTAGTGCTAATTTATTGAAAAGTGCCTGAAATACTATTTATTATGCCCAATGCCTCATTAAGTATTGTTGGCAAACTTGCTTGTAAAAAATAAAGTTGCTTTCTCATTTTTCCATTGGTGAAGGTTCACCGCGTTCGATTCTTGACTGACATTGTTGCCTTATTTTGAGTTATAATAACCTTTTACTGCTTGAATAACTTATCTTTCTCTGATAATAAATTTAGTTCATTTCTCTCATTAAAACCAGGAGCTGTTTACTTTAATAAATAGCTGGGTTCCTGTAGCCTTCTCATTTGTTTTCTTACGTTATTTTCTATGTATGTTTACATATAATTATGAAAATGTTTAGCCTTTTGGTTGACAAAAAATTTACTTAAAGAAATACATAAAGATCGACTTGATTAACTGAAATCATAATTTTTTACGATACGTCAAACCCACCTTTCTGAGCAGGTGACTTAAAATAAAAGTCGTGTGTCAACGTTTTAAGAACGTAAGTAAGAACGTGTAAACGTGAGTTCTTATTTCACTTCCAACGGTTATAATTTTTTAGGTGATTAATTTTTGTAATTATTTTATTCTAAAAATAATAAAAAGTCTGACCAATGTACAAGACTACAAGTAACACTTGTCTAAGAATTTTTTAAATAATTTAAGTTTTTTTGGTTAATCAATGATAGGCATTTATTTTATGCCACTAGGCGCAGTTAGAAGTATATTCTACAACATGCCTAGCCAATATCAGAGCAGCATAAAATAATAAGCTCACCCTGAAAATTAGTGCGGCTCATCGGACTTTCCCCCCCCCCCCATTTCTATAGAAACTTATTTATTGTAAGTAAGGGCGGTTTTACACTGAGGCTTGGCCATATGTTACAGGTGCCCAAATCTAACAGACTGGCTCTGCTAAACTTGGTCTTCTCCCTTCCCAATATTTCCTAAGTTCGTTGTCTATGGTGGTCAATTTAATAATTGACTGGTTGTTATCCTTGTGGCCTTTGAGTTCTCTCCACCGGGAACAAAACTCACAAACGCTGGTTGCAGGTAAGGAAAGATCACTTTTGATTCCTCCAGTGTAAATCCGCCTTTACTCTTATCAAATTGGAAAATTGGGGAGTGATTGTGATTTTGTCCGGTTATTGCAAACCATGTTCCGCCTGCATATCTTCAAGAGAGCTAAAGCATCACGGCTGTCGCCTCTAAAGACTCAAAGCTGCTAGAAAACTCATGATGCAAGCCAAAGGTCAAGAGCCATAACAAAAAAATGGAAAAGTTCCATGCATCAGAAGACAAACATAAAAATGGAAAAGTTCTATGCATCAGAAGACAAACTATATTGCCTATATTTAATTCACATAAAATGTAATAAAATAATAAGAATTAAAGGACACACCAGAATGAGGGTGTTACTTTTTTGGGAAATGGAGATTCTTACCTGATCAATGTTCTATGCAACTGTTCATGTTTTTAACAGAAAGTCATACTAATATCATGACATGAGAGATTGATAAAATCATGTTTTATGACAATTCCAAGGAATAAAAAGAATAGTGATTTACATTTTATTTTTCGTAAGTTCAATAGTTTTATTCTGAGCTTAATGAAATCCAGTATATTTGATTTAATTAACAAACAGTCTAAACCAGAATCTTACTCAAACATTATTCAATTTCGTCTTCAGCATGCTTCATTAATTCTAGTAACATAGCTTATATAACTTTAAGTTAAATTAATCTTGTGACCAAACCTGGCAGTATTTCATATGAAATATTTCAAAAAATAAAATAATTTTTTTTGTATTTTCCATTAAAACATTGTTTGTAACATTTCTTTAGAAGATATAAAACATTTCAAGTACATAAAATAAATTACCAAACTGTGTAGGTCGCTTCACATTATGTAGCAAAGCTGATAGTTTGAATCAGAATTCTCGTCCCTAAAAATCGAGCTTAGAATTTTTTAGAGTTGATGACTTTAAATTTGTAGCAAATAAAAACGAAGTATTAAATTGATATGTAATACTTAAAATTAAATAATTTAACGAAGCATAACTTTAGATACAAATTATTTAGAAATAACATTAATTGAATAAAATAATGTATTCACAATAAATACTTTTAAAAGTATATCCACTGTCTCATAATCTCATTACACGTTTACTTGGAATTAAAATATCAACAGCCTTACTGCAATAATCTAAGCACAATTTTGTTAGAGTACGGCTTTGAGCTTTTCAGGATTAATTCTCCTATTGCTCATATCCATAAATACAGATAAAAAATGTTATTTGAAAAGTTACATCTTTGGCTCAAGTAAAAAATGGACTGGAAAATATAATTCATAAAATAAAGGAAACCTGGTCCATTTTGTCTTAGGAATAACTTTATTTTTTTCAGGGTTGTTATAGGTACAAAGTATTTTAAAAACACAACATGCTGTATTTGAAAATAATCATTGAAATACTTTTTACCCAGATCTGATTATTAATAAACTATTTTTTTTATCTTTTTTAATATAGTATGCTAAGATCAATTTTCATTTTGTATCTTGCAATAACAATATATCTATATATAGAAAGGAATCAACATAACATAAGACTCTTTAAATTATCTTTTTATAGGATTAGAATGAAAGAAAAATAATGGAAAAAAGTATAGTAATTTGTATTTTTAATAAAAAGTATTACTTTTTAACAAAAAATAAATGTTATAAATACAATTATATAAATAATTATGTCTAATTTATCACAGTAAGTGTATATACAAATAATGATCTTTATGTACATAATTACAACGAAATGATTTTTTTTATATACAATTATTTAAATATTTGTTTACTCTGAGCATATAGATGTTTCTGGAGTGCTTATATGGAGAGGAACAGGTACATTATTCATTATCTCATCATAGAAAAATGCAACTGAAAAAACAAGACAAATATATAGTCTATTGATTATAATAAAATAAAACAATAATTAATGCTAAATACAAACAACAATAATACTTACAGGTATCATTTCTGTCAACAAGACGATCTTCGAATAACTGAATATTTCCAACAAATTTTCTAATGCATTCTAGATATTTTTGCTCTATCTGTTCTATTTGATAGTCAGCTAAGAAATGTTTTCTTTCCAATTTCCAATAGAAGTTTAATTCATTGCATATAGAAATGAACTAAAATAAAATACTTAAATTAATAAAAAATATTTTAATTAAAAAAAGAAAACCGACTATAGAAATAATTCTATTCATCACAAAGGAAAGTAAAGAGAAACTGATGTGTACAAGTATTCAAACTTGGTGTACTAGTTGGGTGCCTTTCAGTGCCGAACAAGATTCAAGACTCTTTGGATGTTGACATGCACTGCAGATCATCAAGCAGAGCATGTTAAAGCACTTCTCACTTTAACATTCTCGAATCTAGCGATACTGGTTCGAATTCGGCCTGGGTGGGTTGAAATTTTGTGGCTGACCCATGGAATGAATATCGATCTTCCCGTATTGGTAAGAATAGGTTTGATTGTACCTCTACAACAACTTTCCCCCTCCATTCTTTGCCAAAATAGTGAGTTGACATGCACAATTACATGGGACAAAAACCATTTCCAACAGCTATAAACACTATCTTGAACTCAAATTGTTTCAAAATATTCATCAGATCTCACTGAGTAATTTGAACATACTTAAAATTCAGTTGAGCCATTTGATCAAAAAATCATTAAATATCTTTTGATGGATAGATTAAAAAAAAAATTTACACAATAAGTTATTAATTTTTAGAGTCTAAATTGTTTAAATCAAGGGATCTTATTGAATAATTTGAGATATCAAACTTAAAAATTGGTCCACCACTCACTCAAAAACTCATTAGATACCTTTTAGCAGATATATTTAAATACATTTTTTTTTTTTTACAATATATTGTTCATTTGAGCTCATGAAATAATTTTAGTCATAGAACTTAAAACTATGTCCATCTATTAGCTCAAAAAATGTTATATACCTACAAATGGAATGGTCTGCATTAGATGTTTTTAATAGCTTCTACTTTTTTTCAAGCCTTATTCTTAATGTTAACCCTAAACAATTTCATTTTTCTTAATCTTTCCTGAACAGCTCCTTTCCTCCATTCTAAGACCCTACGACTAAGCCCCCAGCATCAATATTTTTGAGGAGGCACATTTTAACAGGGTCATGAATTTTCAGAGGATACTATTTTTGTGGAGTTCTAAACTTAAGAGGAACTTTCAATTATGGCTAATTATACTTTGGCAAGCACTGTTTTTAAGGAGAGCAATACAATTTCTTCTTCAAATTCCCATTCCTTTCAGGCTGTCCTCTACCTGGTCTTCCTCTTCCATGTTTTCCAGCAGGCCGATCCTCTAGCAAGCGTTTGGGAATCAAATCACGTGGCCCAACCATCTGATTTGGTTTCCCCTCACAATTGAGACCAAATCCGGCCTCGCATACATTTCATACTACAGTTCTTTATTAGTGCGAATTCTCCATTGGCCCTGTTCGCACACCGGGCCATAGATCCTATGGAGAACCCTTCTCTCTCATGCGAGTAGTATTTTTTCTGATGCTTTGGAGATCACCCAAGTCTCAGAGCCATAGGAGATGACTTTCTCATATACCTTGATCTTTGTTCTGTAAGAAAGAGATCTGTAATTTAATATTTTTGTAAAACAGCACTTATTCCCAGCAGTCATCATTGCTTTTAATTCTTCCACCATTTCATTGATTTCTGTGATTAGTGCTCCCAAATATTTAAAATTTTCTACCACTTTTAGGGTGTGGTTACCCATTGTGACTCGTTCGACTGTTTCAGTTGAATTTTTTGATGTTTGCATGTACACAGACTTCTGTTTATTTATTTGTAACCCAAGTTCTTTAGTTGCAGTTTCGAATTCTTCTAATGCCTCTGCTAATGATGTTTTATTTTTTGCCGTTATTACATCATCAGCGTAAGCCAGATGCTGTGTCATTCTATTATAAACTGTCCGAATTGCCCTTATTGCATACTCCAAAGCAATATTAAATAGAGTAGAGGATAAAGGAAGGGTAGCTTTTATTAGGGGAATAGAAGGAGTAGCTTTTTAATAAGATTCCTAAACCTTTTGATTCTAGTAATTACCATCTGATATAAATCCCATCTTAGCAATCAACAAGCTACAACTCCTTGATAATATTAAATGAGGCTAAACCTAACTTCCTTTTCTTAAATCCACAAGATTTCAATGACTCTTTCATTAAAAATGATCAATTTTAATTTTTTTATATTTTCCACTTTAGCAAAATAAAAATCACTGAATCCAAATATAACTAGAAATAATCTGTTATGAATTTTTTAATGGCTTTAGCAATGAAGGAAAAGCCAAGTGGAGACAATTATAATGGTTTAGTTTATCAAGAATAAAATTAATTAATAATTAGAAACAAAAAACAAAACAATAATGCATGGTTTACTAATTAAATTAAATTTTACCTCTTCAATGTTTTCAAGACATGGATGATTTTCTGAGATGAAACAATGGTACTGCCAGTTTTTGAGGAATTTTTTATGTGCTGAAAAAATTCAAAATAATTGTGTAAAAAAAAATTGAATGATGAATTAACATAATTACATTTCATTCACAAAGAACATTAAATAAGCTGCTAATTAACAATCTAATATTTAGGCAGAATGTGGGGGAAGCTAGAGGAGCAGAGGAAGTTTACGTACTTGTTTTTGTTATTTATGCAAGTATAATTTTTAAAGGTTTTCTTGTAACTTCTTTTCTAAGAAAAATGGTGTGAAGCCTTATTGATAAGTATAGTTGACTAAATAATTTTATTTAAAAAAAATGACGCAATTGCTAAGTAATAATCAATCATTTACAAATAAACGACCATAAAAAACAATTAAAATGAGATTTGGAATCTTGAATAAAAATTACAATCACAAATTGAACTATTTGGTTTAACTTATTAAATTATTTATTCAAGCTTTAGTATAATGATTCTATTCATGCCAAGACACCAGTACTTTAATGTTCAATTTGCAAGCATTTTGTTTCAATGGATGTTGATATGGACTTTACTTTAGGAGATCGCACTGTGATTGTGACATGAAGATTACTTACTTAACATGAAATTTACTTAACAACTCTATAATTTTTTTTATAATTACAGTAATATATTTACCAATATAAATAGCTGATAAATTTCTTTCTTTGAGGCATAATTTCTTGATTTCATTCTGGAACTCTGTATCAGTATAAGTAGAAAAATAATTGTTTAATGTACTCATGGTATGGATAAGCCACAACCTCAGAGAACACAGTTGCCTGAATCTCAATATATTCTCAGCCGTTTCTTCTATAACTTTAAACAAAATAAAACATAAAGATTATAAATCAATCAACTGAATAAATGCATTTGAAAATAATTAATGAAATACTAAATGAAGATTTGAAGAAATAAATGAAATAAATGGAATAATGAATATTTGAATCATTATGAAATATCTATAAATATTTAATTTTTTTTTTTCTCTTCTTTCTAGATTTAGGTGAGATCTCTCATCCAGCTCCTTTAATGTATAATGTATTCTCCTCCTGATAGGTATGACAGTCTGTGTGTCCGTGTAGTTTGAGATGAAAATGAGAGTAGAGAGTACGTATGTGTTGGTCTATAGTTAGTTGTCGTAAGTCATTATGTAAAGTTTTGTCGATGACGTACCAGAGAGCTCCTTGTAAGTAACTCCTACTAGTAGTTTTTGTAAGTGCGTCTTTTTTGCCGAACTGTAAATCTGAGAGGTGTATGTTCAGATAGGTTTGAATCTGTAAATGACGTATTTAGTTTTTGTCAAACTTTCAGTTTCGATTTAGAAAAAAGTGAGTACAGTATTTTCAGTCGCTTGTTTAAAGTCTGTCATTTCATTTTGACATGTGGGCCCCAGATTATCCTTCTGTCGAATATTAGTCCAAGGTAAGGTACTCTGTCTGAGGAATTTGGTTTTCTCCTGTATAAACTGGTGGGTATGTTTTTCTCGTCGAAGTGTAAATGTTATATGTTGTGATTTGTCATGATTTAATCTTATTTTCTATAGTGAGTACCAATTTTGTAAAGTCAGTAAGTGATTTTGTAAATTCAAGGAAGCTAGTCTGGGATTATGGTATTTTGTTAAAATTGTTGTATCATCAGTGTAGGTGGCAGTCAATGTTTCGGAGTTGATTGGTATGTCATGCGTATATATAATGTAGAATAAAGGAGGTATTGATCCTTGAGAAACTCCTGCCAACACTAGTCGAATTGAGGAAATTTCTAGGCCGTCAGACGGAGAAAAATCTATTGAAAAGGAAAGATTGGAGAATGAGGTAATATGTATGAGGCAGTAGAGTTTTGAGTTTAAAGAAAAGTCCCTGGTGCCACACTTTATCGAATACCTGAGAAACTGGTTGCATATTGTTTTTTCTCTAGTGCTCCAGCAATTTAGTCAGTAACTCTGTGTAATTATTGTGTTGTTGAATGGAATGTACGAAAACCGAACTGATGGTCATAATTTTTAATCTAAAAATCTTCGCAAATTATTAAATAGTAGCTTAATAAAACATCTTACAATCCATTGTTAATCTTTTAATTGTATCCAGTGCTATCCTTATCTTCAAAAAATATCTAAAAATTTTCATATAACTGTGAATTATTTCGTCACTAATTATAACCCTGATTTCCTGAGTGGCCTGAAATCAATAGAAGAATAAAATATGAAAATGCTTTGATTAAAAAAATTATAATAACAGTAGGTAATATAGTTTAATTTTGATGAGCTATAAAAAAATTAGATCACTGAGATATATTAGATTAAAGAGAATTTGTGAAATATCAACACAAGTGCTGGAAAAATCAACAGGCATTTGTTTTTTAAATATTTGTCAAATAAAATTAATGTAAAGTATAATTATTATAATACACTTTTGGAACATAAGTGGATAAAATCTCTGTTGTTTTCGTTAACCAAGAATTAGTGTTTGTAGCCTTTGGGAAGCATATCAACTCACCTTAATATGAATATATCATGACAACATCAAAGTATATTTTTATTAATCTTTTAAAACAATTTTTTAAATAATTTAAATAATAGATATAGTTATGTAATATACATATTACATGCATAAATCTTTTATATACGTAAATAGCTAATCTGAACTGACTCATCCAATCATTAGTTATATTATCGGGACTGGACTGTAATTTATTTATCGTTATGAGTAGGACTAAAGGGTACTAGTAGGGGGGACTAAACTAAGTCCAGCAAGTGTGCCTATTGGCCTTTTTTGCCAGAACTAAAGGATAATTTTCTCATATAAATACACAGACATGAAAGGTTAACTATCAGGGGGCAGGGTGGCCGAATGGGTTAACGCGTGTGCACAGCACTGCGAGTTGCCCGGCAACCAGATAACCAAAGTTATGAGAGATCAAAAAGTACGAGTTCGCATCCTGATTCCAGAGGGGATTTTAAATCCTCCACGCTCTACCCCCAGCTCGGGAAAACCCTTTATAGTCTAAAAGGCGAGGTAGGGAAGAAAAAAAAAAAAAAGTTAACTGAAAATATTTCTTGATTTTTTTATACCTAAATATATGACTCAATGGATTTGATACAGGCAATAGAAAATTCATATGATGTGTTATTAATATATTTAAAATATTTTTTATGACATGTTTAAAGGTTGGTTGTTGTTAGTAAACAAAATGGATGTTTCCCTATGCTAATGTTTTTGAAGTTTATATCTGCTGTTGGTAACAAGATAAATAAAAAAAAAGGTGCTAATGTTGCTGTTAGTTAAGCTAGATAATTGTGTTTCCCATGGTTTGTGAAATGTTAAACACAGTTCTAAAAATACATGTTACATAGTAACTAACAATATTTGTTTCACCTGATAGTATAAGTGAATGAAGTTCGATTTCTCAAGAAGAGATGTGCTCTTTTTCTCAAAGATACATGAATCAATATGAAATTTAAAGTTATTTACATAATCCTGAGAAAGTATGCCAAGTAAGCAATACGTAAACCTCTCAAAACACTTATTAATTCTCACACTTCCAAAACGTTTCGAAACCTTGCTTGACTGAAATGAGAAAAAAAAAAGAAAAGGAAAAAATAAATTACAAAAATATTTTAAACGATTCTTTTTATTAAATACTTATAAGTTATTAAAATCAAGATGCTCTAACATGGCCACAGAATTCAGGAGAAATATTTCCTTAACTATGGGAGAAATCGTATTAGTACTAGCAGGCATATTTTAAGAAGCTTCTTCCTCAATGGTTATTTTGGAAGAAGAAAGTTCCCATTTTGTCCTGTCTATGAATTCAGTATTGATATCAGCCTGTACCATATATCATGTATATACCACATTTTTTTATATATAGGTAACTAAAAGTAAAAATAAATAAATAACATTAACTGTAACCAGTAGTACCTCTGTAATTAAAACTGCACTAAGAGCACTAGTAAGCTGGACAACTGTATAGAGGGCGTTTAGATGCTCTAGTAGTTTGAACTGACCAAGGAGTATGTCCGCTGCGAATCCTTTAGGTTCCATGTAATCCTCAATCACATTTAATATTGCTTCTTTTAAATATATATGAACAGCACTTGTTGATAAATCAACATCTTTCAAATTTTCCATCAAACTAAAAACAATTTTTAAAAAATTTGAATTAGTTAACATATCTAATGATTTTGAATCATAGAACCATAAGTAAACAATTCAATGTTTTCAAATGAATATATGTATCTAGTTGGTATAATTGTACTTATTTATTCAGTATTAATATTTCGCAGACAATTTTCTTTAGTGAAGGAATAGCCAAAAAATATGGAAATAAGTAGATCCTATGTATTATGTAAGGGAGGAATTAATTGTTTTTTTTGGGTCGATTACAATATTTCATTTAACATAATAAACCAAAATATTAGTACAAATTGCTTTGCTGGAGTCTATTTCTAAACGCTGACTGAAAAGATAATTTTCAATAAATAAAGCCTCAATCATGGAATTTTCTAAATTAAAAAAAAATAAATTAAAAGTACAAACAAAAAAATGCCTTTAAGAAATAATAAAGCATATATCACCAAGGAAAAAAAAGGTAGTAGAATAGTAAATCTTTAAAGGGGAAAACATTATTTAGTATACTAAAATTAATGGACTATACCTTTGTTAGTAATCGTCTGATTTTTTTTGTTTTGTAGGTAATTTAGTAATCTTTTTAATAATCATGGGCACTTTTTGGAGAAAAAAATGCACACTTTTTGAGTTATTCGCAAATAGTCTCTTTTCCTTCATAACTTTTTTCTAGAAATTATTCGGATTACAGATCCAACCAAATTAATGGTGTCCACTTTAAAGAGACCACAGAAGGGGTTCCTAACCCCTGAGTCAATCTATGACTGATATAACACATAATTGGCATCAGCTGGATTCGAACCCAGAGAATTAAGAGTCCACTACCTTACCTCAATGAATAAATATTTTTAAAAATCATGCTATTACATATTGTACATTTGTAAACTTTCATTCCATGAAATTTCACTTTAATTTAAACATAAAATTAAGAAGATGAAATGGATTAAGCTAAAATACATAATAAGCAGAAAGGACTAGAAATTATACCTGTTGGTGATACTAGGTTTGGTTAATTTCGGACGGGGGGTTATTACTTCTCTGAAAACCTTATCAATCAGGTTTTCACTATGGAATAACATCTGTCTCACTTCTAACGGAAACAATTCTTCTTTTTTTTTAAATGCTGAAATTACATCCTCATCATCTGGAACCTTTATTGCAGGTAACTGCAAGATATTTGATAACTTCTTCACAATTTCTGTATACATTATATCTAAAAAAAAAAAGTATGATTCATAGATACTAGGAAACTAAAACAAAAATTTATTTAATTTTTTCAACTTGTACAAACAATGAATAAGAAAGTATAATGTATGAAAAACATACACACCATCCATTGACAATGGGAATTAATTAAAACCAACTAAGTTGGGATAAGCAGAAATTACTCTGTATTTTCAATAAATATTTATAAAATAACTTATTAATTAATATTTTAAAGGAATAATCAGAAATTCTGGTTTAATTTGAAGTTATCAGCATATTCCTTAAGTATTAACAATATTATCATTTTAAAATAAAGTTCCAGTAAGTAAAGAGGAAAAAAAAATACTGAAAAATATAACAATTCCTTTTTTAAAAAATAAATATATATTTTAAAATTCATTTATTATACTGCAAGAAGGATTAATACAATACCTGTAGGGCATTTATTGGTGACAAAAGAAGACTCTTTTCCTAACACTGTGAGAAAATTACAAGAAATAATTGCAGCAGAGGCCATTTGAAGAACAGGCTTCCAAAATTCTTCTGAATCATTTGAGTATGAGTCTACCAACAGTGTCCCTGATCTAAAAAAAAAAAAAAAATCAACAACGAAGTGGTAACTATAACCATAAACTTAACAAAAAAATTAATAAACTTAATTTAATATTTTTGTTAATACCACTTTTAGTTTTGAAACTTAATATTTTGAAACAATAACTCAAAAAAATCAATAAAAAAAAAATTGCGATATACTGAAACCTGTCCATAACAGACAGCTAGGGGTCTGGCAGAGTTCTCGGTTTCAGAGGAGTGACGTCTAAGAAGCGTTTTATACCAATGCTTATTAAAAAATGACTGCTGGTATCAAAACAAGTTTATTAATTCGAATGAAGTTTATTTGTACAATGTTTTGATTTCTGAATGATTAGAAAAAATCTAAGTAAAAAAATAGAGTTGTATGATACAATACTTGGAGTGATCTAAATGTAACCATAAACAAAACAGTTTATTGACCTTATTAGGACAAAATAAAAGAACCAGTTAAAAATTAAATTGTATTCAAACAACAAAACAAATTATAATTTGATTGGCACACTCAAGAGAAATTTTTTATTGAAATGAGGGAAGATTTTTATCATACATTATTTTTTCTAAAAAAAACCTTTATGACTACGAATTATATTAAAATAATTATTACAAAAAAATCCAAAAATAAAATAAAATATGAAAAAAGTCAAGCAATAATCGATACTAACCCACATAGAAAAAATTCAGAGCCAAAGCTCTTATGATATGTATTTGCCAGATGACAACAGAGCATATTTAAAAATGGTTCAAACGAATCAATAAATAAACAAAGAATCGTCTTTTTCTGCCAGGCAGTGTCACCTATCCTCCACATAGTTCCTCCCTTCAATTCGCTGTAAAGAACAGTGAGAAGTCTGCAAGAAAATGGCACATCTTAAAGTTAGATCAATAAAAATGAAAAAAAAAAAAAATGGAGAAGTCCTTTTTTTTTTTTTTTAATTTTCCAAAATAAGACAAATTCTTTGCTAAAATATTTTATTGAAGATACCAATATTAACTATTTATTTTAGAAGAGTCCTTACAAGGATATTCTGTTTGTTATAAACAACTTTGACATGGTCATTAAGAAATACTAATTATAAAAAAATGGGGTGTGTGTGAAATTATATCAAAGTTCAAAGTATTTCATACATAAATTAGCATTATTTCGGGTTTTCTTAATGTTTTGGATTTTGATTTTTCAAATTGACAAAACAGATCTATTTCAATTGAAAGATTGAGTACACAAATCAGTTCTTGAAAATGGCCATTTTTGGTAAATTCTAAAAAATTTCTGTCTAGTTACATGGATTAAATTATTCTAGTTTCTCATAAATATACACCCAGTGAATTTGTAATATTGTTTGTTGGTCCACTTGGTCCCATTTAGCTTTAGAACGTTTCAAAATTACTTTATACCTGACTTGAAATATTAACAGTGATTCAGAAGGAGTTGATTACAAAATTTGAAAAATATTCAAATTGACTAAGAAAAGCTAAAATAGGTGATAATTGGTTAAATAGGTCAGTTGTATGTAAAGTAGAGCAATAAGAAATACAAATTAGTAAATTTCTAACTTGAGGCTTATCCTTAACCTGATATATTTTTCTTTTTTTACCTCAATGCATTGCTTCGACAATCCTTTTCCTTATAATCTAAGCTGATAGCACTTTCATGAACCCTATAAAGATATTCAATGTTATGCAGCCAAGGCGTTATTTCTGCTATCAAGTAACGTAGAGTTGTAATATCCTCTGAAATCCATAATTATGTTTTATAATTTATTTTTATACATAGAACATTATATTTATTAAACAAAAAAAAAAAAAAAAAATTAGGAAACTGGGGTAGCTTCTAATAAGTAATCGAAGTTAAGCAACGCCGAGCGTGGTTAGCACTTGGATGGGTGACTGTCCGATTTGGGTAACCGTTAGGGATGGGTCGGATTGTATGTATCAGATACTTTTATCTGATACTAAAAAAGTATCTGATACAACCAGTAGATACAACCAAAAAGTATCTGATACAAAAGTATCTGATGCTCACATGGATACAAAATGGTTGTCCAGACATGCCACATTGATATAAGAGAAATGTTTAGTTATAATTTTAGTTGTGCACAATTTTTTTAAAACTATCTATTCATTTAGTTTAATTTAATTAAATATTTATTTGTAGATAAATATATTTACGCTTATTTTTTTTTTTTTATGTAATGTTAATTTCAGATATTTTTATCTGATACTGCTATCGGATATTTTTATCTGATACTAGTATCAGATACTTTTATCTGATATTTGTATCAGATATTTTTATCTGATATTTGTATCGGATATTTTTATCTGATATTTGTATCGGATATTTTTATCTGATATTTGTATCGGATATTTTTATCTGATATTTGTATCAGATAATTTTATCTGATACCCGCATCGGATACTTTTATCTGATATCTGGACTAGATACCCAGCAGTATGCATACTGGCGCTTGGGCTTTTTAGTTAATATATAATAGTTCTAATGACTGTATAGTTATGTCAAGTACTAAGAAAATATTTACACAATTTTTTAAACAAAATATGCTTCATATTTGACAAAAGAATGGAATATATTAAATAAAAATATAACAAATTCATGCAGAGGAAATATTTTCCTAATACAACGTTCTTAAGAATTTTGTAACAATTAAAAAAATTCTTTATAGTTAAGTTTAACATACACACACACACACATATATATATATATATATATATATATATATATATATATATATATATATTTTTTTTTTTTTTTTTCTGTTTGTATTACAGACCATGTAGATCTTTTGCCACCTTAACAAGTATGCTCAATCTCTACCTCTCTTGGGCTATTTCTTTCCATTATCTAATATTTGTATCGGATATTTTTATCTGATACTCGCATTGGATACTTTTATCTGATACCTGGACTAGATACCCAGCGGTATGCATACTGGCACTTGGGCTTGATATCTCAATAATTGTATCAGATATTTTAATCCAACTGTAATTGATTATTGATCGGGTTTGATATTTTAATACCTATTTGATACCTAATAAAACATACATTAAATATGTACCTATATATATATTTTATTCCTTTATTATTAAATTTGTCCCTGTAATAAATATTTTACACCATTTTTAAATATAATAGTTCGAGTGACTTTATAGTTATGTCAGGTACTATGAAGATATTCACTATAGGATAGCTAAGTTTAACATCCTCACACACACATATATTTCTTTTATTTTCACTGATCAATCTACATCTTGGGATTTAGATTATATAGGACTTGTATAATGTTTACAATACTATTATTTTATTCTTTGAACATATAAAATTACATATGTAAATCATTTAATATGTAATATGTAAATATTTATCCACTCTTTTATTATTATTTTTTTCATTAATACAATATTATGACAACAAAAGTAATTTGTCGTTCATTTCAAATTTCAGTTAAAATTCCATAGTTCATTGTTGTTTAGTAACTATTTTGCTGTATTGGGACCTCATTGCTCATATTATGTCTTTAATATATCAGTATAGTTATGTAAATCCTTCTGTTATTACTTATTTTTTAGTTTTTTTTTATTGTAATATGCATTTTGGCCAGATGTTATGTTAATTTTTATGTACAATATTGTTATTCTCAAGGGACTTTGTCCCAGAATAAAGGTGATTCTTCTATTCTATTCTATTCTATATATATATTTATTTTTTCTGTTTGCATTACAGACGATGTAGATCTTTTGCCACCTTAACAAGTATGCTCAATCTCTACCTGTCTTGGGCTATTTTTATTATAGTAGGCAAAAGACCACGTCGAAGGCCAAAAAGCAGATGGATAGATAGAATCAACAAAGATAGAATAGAGCTGCGTGCAGATAAATGGCAAAAAATAGCCCAAGACAGGCAGAGATTGAGCATACTTGTTAAGGTGGCAAAAGATCTACATGGTCTGTAATACAAACAGAAACAATAAATATATATATATATAGAATAGAATAGAATAGAATAATCACCTTTATTCTGGGACAAAGTCCCTTGAGAATAACAATATTGTACATAAAAATTAACATAACATCTGGCCAAAATGCATATTACAATAAAAAAAACTAAAAAATAAGTAATAACAGAAGGATTTACATAACTATACTGATATATTAAAGACATAATATGAGCAATAAGGTCCCAATACAGCAAGATAGTTACTAAAAACAATAAACTATGGAATTTTAACTGAAATTTGAAATGAACGACAAATTACTTTTGTTGTCATACCATTGTATTAATGAAAAAAATAATAATAAAAGAGTGGATAAATATTTACTTTAAATGATTTACCTATGTACCTCAATATGTTCAAAGAATACAATAATAGTATTGTAAACATTATACAAGTCCTATATAATCTAAATCCCAAGATGTAGATTGATCAGTGAAAATGAAAAATATATATGTGTGTGTGAGTATGTTAAACGTAGCTATTAAGAATTTTTTCAATTGTTACAAAATTCTTAAGAACGTTGTATTAGGAAAAATTTTTCTCTGCATGAATTTGTTATATTTTATTTAATATATTCCATTCTTTTGTCTAATATGAATCACATTTTGTTTTAAAAACTGTGTGAATATCTTCATAGTACCTGACATAACTATAAAGTCATTAGAACTACTATATATTAACTAATAAGTCCAAGACTAGACTAGATACCAAGCGCCAGCATGCATACCGCTGGGTATCTAGTCCAGGTATCAGATAAAAATATCAGATAAAAGTATCCGATGCGGGTATCAGATAAAAATATCTGATACAAATATCAGATAAAAATATCCGATACAAATATCAGATAAAAATATCTGATACAAATATCAGATAAAAGTATCTGATGCCAGTATCAGATAAAAATATCTGATACTAGTATCAGATAAAAAGTAGTAGAAAGGTCATGACCAACTACTGACCCATTTGTATCAGATACAAAAGTATCAGATAAAAGTATCAGATACAAAAAAGTACCCGTATCAGTTGTATCTAGATACAAAAATTTTAGTATCAACCCATCCCTAGTAATCGTCCACCAGGGAAAGCCACGCTGCCTGAGATCCCCCCCCCCAGGTATGTGAGGCCCATCAGCCTGCTGAAGGCAACTCACACTGACCGGGCGTAGGACTGATGATCTTATCCCATCTACTTAAATTGGAAATCGGGATGTAGATCTCATATATATAAAAATATATATATGAGATCTAAAAAAAAAAAAAAGTATTATATAAAAAAGGAATTCAGGAGAAAATATAATATTGTAAAATAAATTCCTAACACATTTTTCCTCCTCTCTTATTAATAAAGGTTATTCTTGTATGAACTCAATTTAAAAAAAAAGAAATAAAAAACATTTTTTGCATAAACTGTTCAAAAACGTTAACGTTAAAAGTATAAATAGGAACAAGAATTGTTTCTAGATTAAAAATGCAGTTTTTTTTTAGCTCTAGTTTTAAGGATATTGAAAGATAACCCATCTTTAAGATTATTAGAACAAAGTTGGAAAAAAAAGTAATAATTTAATAATCAACATACCTTGGGCTTCAACTGTTCTTTCAATATCTTCTAGCTTACTTCTATAAATAGAAAAAATTTTCTTCATGCTAAAACCGTAAGCCCTATATGTACAAGGGATCGATGATGAAAAATCCTGTTCCATTTCAGATATAAATGTTTGAAGTTTTTGAATATAAGGAAGATATACGCACACATTTTCATCAATGATTATTGAAAACAAATTCTGAAAAAAAACTTTTCATTTTTATTAAAAATAATAATACTAACAGAATTAAAATATGTATACAAAATAATTGACAACTAATGAAATTCTAAAATTTAAAGAAAGACTAAGAAAATAAATCAAGATCTTTCAACTGTAACAAGAATAAATTGATAAGATATAGATGATTGCTCTTTCTGTCATATTTGGATTACTTATATTAAGAGAAGTACACTCAAGCAACAATGAAGACTATATAATATTTCTATCTATCTATCAACCTGACGCTACAACCCTGGGTGGGTCTTGGCCTCCTCAATGAGCCGTCGCCATTCGGCCCGATTTTGTGCTGCCGCTCTCCAGCCTCTGATCCATAGCAGGCTCCGTGCGTCCGCTGCCACTCCATCAACCCATCGAAGCCTTGGCATACCAGGCCGTCGCGTACCATGAGGGGCGGTGCCCACCACTTTTTTAGGAATTTCTTCCACTTTCATCCTTGCGATATGTTCAGCCCAACTGAGCTTCCCCAGCTTAATAAACTTTACAATGTCCATATCCCCGTAAAGGTCATAAAGCTCTCGGTTCCTCCTAATCCTCCATCCATCTCCATCTCTCACAGAGCCAACAATTTGACGTAAGATTTTCCTTTCGAAAATCAGAAGATTATTTTCGTCACTTCTTGAGATGGTCCAGGATTGAGAAGCATAGGTAAGAACCGGGCGTATAAGTGTCTTGTATATGACCAGTTTAGTGTCCCTGGTAATGGATCTGCTGCGGAGAGTTTTCAGTAAGGCAAAATATGCTCTATTTGCTGCCACCAGCCTTTTCTTTATCTCAGCAGAGACATAATTTATTAGAGTTACTAGAGATCCCAAATATGTAAACTCGTTCACCATTTGGAATTTATAAGGGCCAATACTCAGTTCCTCGTTGCCACCAGTCCCTGTATATGGCCAATCCCATGGCTGAAGCAGCGTCCATTAGTTTCTTAAAGGCCTTTACCAATGCCGATCATGTCCTGGCTACGATATCCAAATCCTCAGCGAATCCCAATATCTGTACAGTACGGGTGAATATCGTGTGGTCCATCTGGATTCCTGAATCCCGCACAACCTTCTCCAATACAAGATTGAAGAGAAGACACGCCATATAATATTTACTTATTCTAATTATTGGTACCAAATCAATAAATAATGCCAGACAAAACATTTAATATTGTCCATTTAATTATTCATATTTATGATATGAAGCATTTTAACATCTGTATTAATTAAAGCAATTGAACAAAACAATACTAATTGAAAATGTTATGCGTTGAAGTTTGACCATATGGTAAATTGTAATAACTATTTATTAAATGTAGGCGTTTTGGCCCACATTGTAGGTGTTCATTAGAGATGCAAAAAACAAAACAAACAACAACATAGAAATGTTGGAATTTCAGAAATAATTCCTACTATTTTATGTCATCGTTCATTACAACCTGGACCATCTCCTTCCATTATTCAATAAGAACAGTAAAATTATTTTTGTGTCAATCGAACCATATTTCATATTAATGTTAGAAATAATTATATGCAAATTACATATTCTTTTAATCATTCTTAAGTAATGAAAAAGTATTCCTTCTTCAATTAGTCCTGGGAAACCCTGTGTATTTAAGTGTATGAAAAAGAAACAACAGCAAATAAATAAAAAAAGCAAATCATGTGTTACCGGAGAAATGCTACAAATAGAAATATCAGGGATTGGCTTAAAGCAGTCTTTAGAAATTTCTCTGATGAAATAGCAACTTGATGGCATTGAAAGAACATAAATGAGTTCCATTACAACCTTCCGCTCACCGAGTATTCTTGTTTCATTGATTGATACTCGATGGTGCTTCATTTGCTTCTCCCTAAACAAGAAGATTACATCAGTCAAATTTCGAATAAGAGTATTTTAGGAATGAAACTGAGAAGAGAGCACAATTCACAATCTTAAAAAGAAGAATTTCAATTTTTCATGCCGAATGGATACTTTGTTTTAATTTGTTTAGACTTCATTAGTCAAAATATGTATAAAATTCATTAAAACCAATTATAATTTCAAAGAAAAGTTGTAATATTATAGACGGATAAAATCCAAGGACAAGTAATTCAGTCATTGAAGAAATGAGAAACATACTATGGATACAAAAAGGAAACAAGTGTGCTATGCATAAATAAATTTATTCTAATCTATGTTTTCATTTCCTGATTGCATCTCCCAAGCACCTTCCCATTGAAATAGTTTTACACTCAACACAACCTTCACCATTATGAATATTAAGTTAGCGAGCAATGAATTTATTGCAGATGGAGGTTGGAGAGTGCAGTCATTGATGAAACAACACACAAATATTAGACCTTATTGATGATGTTTTGCCTTCATCGAGGTGCCTAACTTGTACTCTTGCACTTGACACCGAAATGAGAAAGAGGTAACTTATAATATTAATAAAATACTTATTTAGCATAATTAGCATTCTTGCTCAATCTCCACTGGGTTTAGCCCCAGTGACATGGTTGAGAGAGAAGTGCAGGGATCTCCTGGATTCATACTTTTCCCTCCACAGTTGGAGGGACAAGTCTGGTTTGGAGTTCTCTCGCCAGATTATAAATATTGTATATAGGTATGTATGTGTTCTTTTTATTTATTTATTTTTAGGTTATTTTATTCTTATTTATTATATATATATATATAATATACGAACATTTTGGCACGCTCACCGGACCTTCATCGGAAATCTTTTATTTTACATTATATTATCAAGGCTATTTATTAACTTATTATTTATATACTTTTTTCTACTCTATTTTTTCTTCACATCATCTAATGTATTTAATCTTTTTCAGCGTCTTTCCATCAAATACCGAATGTCCTCTCCGAAATCCTACTCATGTCTAGTGTCCTAACTTCCTGCCACGTCAACTCCCAATCCCTTCCAGCCCATTACGATGAATTCCTAGAATATTTTACCCAAAACTTTTACCACATCATCGCAATTTCCGAAACCTGACTCAAGCCCTACATCCTCTCCTCTTCAGTCTCCCTTCCTAACTACACCCTAATCCGCCACGACCGGGACAGCCGGACTGGCGGAGGTGTAGCTCTGTACGTTCATACCAGCCTAAAGACCCGAATTCTCCATCGTTCTTCTCCAACCGATCAGCCACAAGTCGAGTTCTTGATCGTCGAAATCTCCTGTAACACCTCTCATCTCCTCTATTCCGTGGTATATCGTCCTCCTCTTGTTCCGTTTGACCCGTCTTTCGAAGCTTCCCTCTTTAACTTTGTGCCCCTTTATTCCAAAATTATCATTTCCGGTGACTTAAACACCAATTTCCTCTCCGACTCCAGCGACAAATCATACCTAGAAAACCTTTTTTTCTCCCTTCATCTTTTTATCGTTCCTTTTTCTGCTACGCATCACACCGCAAGGTCCGACACTTGGTTGGACCTGTACATTATTGATTCCGCTCAAAACCTCCTTTCCTCTTCCCAATTACCAGTTTCTTTTTTATCGTCGCATGACCTAATCCAAATATCCTATAATATCCAAACCCCTCCGATCCTACCGAGAACGGTAACTTTCCGGAACCTCAATGGCCTTACTCGGGAAAAAATCTTACCTTCCCTAGAATCCCTAGATTGGAATATAATATATTCCTGTACCTCAATTGATTCCATGGTTGACATTCTCACCTCCAATCTTATTAATATCCTTGATGACCATGCCCCTCTCAAAACCTCCACCTTTCGTCGCCTTCCTGCTCCCTGGATGTATCAGAAAATTAAGGATCTTCAGAAGAGGCGTGATGCCCGGAGACGCTTTAGACGCACTAGATTGCCTGACGACTATCAAGCGTTCAGGACGCTCCGCAACCTGACACAATCCACAATCCGACGAGCCAAATCTACCTATTTCCATGAAGCCCTTTCCTCAGCTCCTGATTCCAAATCCAAATGGCTACTCCTTCGTAAACTCTCTCTTTGTGATCCTACCAGATCTCCTCCCTCTGCAGTGCCCCCAGTTTCATCAAATGACTTAAATTATTATTTTATATCTGCTTCCTCTTCAACTCCTTCATTTCTCCCTTCCTTCTTTTCTCCTGGAACATCTTTCAATGACGCCGATTTTTATTTTTCAGATATTTCTCCCACAGACCTCATATCCGCCGTGATGAAATCACACTCTAATTCTATTGGTTCAGATGGCATTCCCGTCAAATTAATTAAATTATGCCTCCCTGAAATCCTTCCGGTACTCCTTTTCATCTACAATTTTTCCCTTCAAAATTCAGTATTCCCTTCCTTGTGGAAAAAAGCCACAGTCCGTCCTTTAAATAAAAATTCTAATCCGTCTTCCCCTGAAGATTTCCGGCCAATCTCAATCCTTTCTAACCTTTCCAAACCCCTGGAGAGAATTGTGCAATCCCAAGTTTCCACCTTCCTTGAACAGTCCAATCAACTTGACCTTTACCAATCTGGTTTCCGACCAGGTTATTCCACACAATCCGCCCTAATCAAAATCATTAATGATGTTCAGTCCGCCATTGATGACAAAAAACTAACCGTCCTTATACTTATTGACTTTTCCAAAGCCTTTGATTCCATCAACCACTGCATTCTCTTTTCCAAATTAAAATCATTATCCTTTTCCCATAGTTCTATCCTATGGTTTCAATCATTCCTTTCCCAACGCTCACAAGCTGTCGCTATTCCTAATCAACCCTTGTCTTCCTATCTTACTTTGTCCGCAGGAGTGGCCCAGGGCTCTAGCATATCTCCCCTCCTTTTTAGTTCTTATATCAATGACATCCATAATTCAATCCTTCACTGCTCCCATCACCTTTACGCCGATGACTCCCAAATCTACCTTTCCTTCCATCCCTCAGAGTTGCATGAAGTGTTTGCCAAAATTCAAGAAGACTTGAATCGGATCAGTGCCTGGGCAAACTTAAATGGGTTAAGGTTAAACGCTGCAAAAACTCAAGCCATTGTCATTGGTTCCAAACCCCTTCTCAGAGCCAATACCAACATACCTATACTGTACCTAAATGACCATCCCATTACCTTCACCTCCTCAGTAAAAAATCTAGGCATTTTCATAGACCAAACCCTATCCTGGAAACACCATATTGCTCATATTACCCGACAGTCAATTAGTACCTTGAAACTATTCCATCGCTTCCGCCATCTCCTACCCATTTCCACACGTAGACTCCTGGTAACTTCCCTCATCTTCCCCCACCTTGATTACGGCTGCGTGGTATACGGTGGCCTCTCGGCAGAACTCGGGGAGAGACTGAAAAGAATTATGAATGCCTTCGTAAGATTTGTCACAGGGGCCCTGAGGTATTCCCGTGTTTCGCACTGCTATGCTGAATTAGGATGGCTCTTCCCTTCCTTCCGAAGACAATATTTCCTAGGCACATTCCTTTACCAAATAATCAATAGTCATCGTCCGTCCTACGCATACAATCTCCTACAATTCAAATCATCTATCCACACCCTCTCCACAAGATCTCGTCCTTCTGACCTTTACACTCCTTTCCACAGATCTGCATCATTTAAACATTCCTTCGTTGTCCGTTCCACCGCATTCTGGAATTCCATCCCACTAAAAATCCGCCATGCATCATCCTTATCCACCTTTAAAACCCTCTTATTCCAATTACTCTTCACAATCCAATCAGACGCTGGTTAAATACATACTATGTTATAAGGATTTAATTTTCTTTAGACATTATTTTTTTCTCTTATTTTTTATTGTTTTATTCTGTGTTGAACGTGAATTTTCATCACCACTCACTAAGCATTGTGAGTAGATAAAATTTGTTTTCCTTAAGTTCTAATTTGTTATTCATGGAATGTATTTCAGTGAAATGTATTTTATTTCTAATTATCTTCAACATACTTCTCGCTATGTGTATATATATACTTTATTTTATTTTCTCTTCTCCTAATCTTTACGCATAATCACTTAAATATCTTAGGGAACATATGTATATCATTATTTGTTTTTTACATATTTTTTTGTTTTAGTTTTTACAATTTCTTTCGCTACATATTAACAGTTATTATTATTTTTTTAAATTTTTATATTCCATCACTACAATGCTTTACCTATAAAATAGATTTTACTTTCCTTTATAATTTCATTCAGTGATTATTATGCAATTATTTTAGCTCCAATATTGTAGTACTGAACCCCTATTACCAAACTGTCCTCGTTAATTTATCCTAAGAGCTTAATTAATACTTAATGTATTACATGCATTTTGTCATTATTCATGGTAATAAGTCTTTTGACCAGATTTGTAGTTAATATATATGAACAATACTGTTATTCTAAAGGGACCTAGTCCCAGAAAAAGATGATTTTTCTATTCTATTCTATTCTATATATATATATATTATTTTTCTGTATAATTTATTTTGTTTATTGTACATAGAGTGTGAATGTGATCTCTGAACACAATTATAAATGTCCTTGAGACAGATTGTAATATTTTTCAATAAATAAGTTAATACACTAAAAAAAAAAAAAAAAATTATATTTCTTATTTGTGTGTTATTTTATGAATATCTACTGTACCATCGCCTCCTTCTTCAACAAACTTCTACAATATTTTTTAACAGCATTTTTTATCATCTAATGAAAAAACAAAGTATACTTACCAAATTAAACAATAATTTGCCTCTTTCCTTTTACTTTCAGGAATTTCCCGGAGAATAGGATTTTTCCACCACAAGCTTTGGGTATGCTCTTCCAACCACTTTGCAGCATTTTCAGCTCTCTGTAAAGCCTCCAATCGAAGATCAGATGGAGTTGGTCTAGGAGGTGAAGGAATTTGAACAGGTCTAAAAGTTTCCAGAGGATGAACAGATATATTGTTTTGTATTTCTTCTGCTTCTTCCTCTGTCCAGCTCTCCTCATCCTAGATAAACGACTTGTGTAATACTTTATTTTTATAGTTAACAAGCAAATGACTTTAATATCATGGGATATTTTGTGGTTTGACTGTCTTCCAAAGCAATTTAAAGGTAAAAAGTTAAAAATAAAACAAATCATAAAAAATTCAGAGACCCTTTAAGAATGAAAAGAAAAGCCGAGAAAATCTACCAACAAAAATGTGGACAAAACAAATTAGAGAATAGTAAGTCAAAAAATCTCTTCCAGCAACAGAATCTGCACAAATGGGAAATTTTTCCCAATAGTAGACCGATTCTAATACTTCTGGCTCCATAATTACTTCAATAAACAACCAATTACCAGTAACAGACCAGTGTATAACAAATGCAAACAAAGCTTATTTCTCTGTTTCAAGAGTACTGAAATCCTGCAGATTCTCCACATATCTCAAATTAAGAGAGACCAATGCTTATGATAAATTAATTTTTGATATACTCTGATTGTCATCCAAGAAAAAATAATTAAAACATTTGGGAGGAGAGTCCTCTGGGTGGTAACTAGAAAAATGAGGGATTAGAGTACTGATGGATGGAGAAGGACCAATAAAGAACAACTCAATCAATATTTCATTAGACGAAGGCAAGGAGATTAAGATAGGTAGGGTATGCAGGCTCGAAGTAATTATTAATATGGACACCTATAACTACAATGAATGTAAAGAGACCAAGTGGGAGGACAAAAAACAGATGAATAGATATAAATAACAAAGATGCCACTGGCACAAAGACAAACTGGAAAACATTAGCCAAAGATAGGTAGAGGGTGAGAAAGTTGGTTCAGGCGGCTAAATATTTAACAGGTCTATTTAAAAATTTATCAGAGAGAAAAAAAAGATATCATAGTTACTTTTTGCACACAGTTCGACACCAACAGTTTTGGACTTACTAAACACATAGATGACCAGAAAACAAATAATCATAAATACAGTCCAAGAATTTTAACCAGTTTTAAGAAAAACCTTACAGTTATGTATGTATTAAAAAAAAAAACGTGGTCATTTTAAACATTAAGAGATTATTAAAACTGTACTAACAAAGCTGGCTGCTAAAATATTGGGATCCAAAAAGTAATGAAGTGCAAGTACTTTTTGGGAAAAAAGGTTTTATTTATTACCAACTATAGGAGATATCTCTCTCTGTTATATTTAAAGTTTTAAGGAGCAGGAAAAACAAAACAAAAAAAATTACAGAAATACATGTATTAATCGAGAAATATTAAAAATCTCTCAGCAGAATATTTGGACAAATTAAAAAATATACTGAGGAAAGAAACATACCTCAATATTCTGATTAGGGCTATAAGAGCAAGTCGACCTGTTACGACAGCTTAGCTGACTGAACTGAGGACATAAAGGTGTTCAAAACAACCAATAACAATACAAACCATTTCATATCAGCCCACTTGAGGGAAAAAGAAATAAATTGATTATAAACAAAGTTAACATACCTCAGAAGGAAGTTGGAACTTTTCATACCCTTCCTTTAAATATGTTCCCCAATCAAAAGATTCATCCTTACTCTTATTCCCTTTCTCTAGGTTTAATGGAGGATCATCTTCTAATGCATTGGTGGGTTTAAATGAAAGTTTGATTAAGAAATCTACAATACCCCACTGAATACCAGGCTAAAAAAAAATAAATTTCAAATTTAACAATAACAAAATTATAGTTGAGATTATGAAGATTCATTAAGTATTGATTTGAAATATTAACTGCTACCTACTCCACAATATTTCTTAAAATAATCCAATTCACTGTATGCTTCAATTAACATTTTCAGGTTCTTTGCCTTCTGAGGGAATCCATGAACTTTAAATTTGTCAACGAAGTCATTCAAAGTTGATTTCACTTTGAGATCATAAACAGAAGGGTAATAATGATCAACTATGAGGGACCAAGATGTGTCCTCACATTTTTTAAATTCCGGAGAACCTTCCTAAAACATTATTCAAATTTTATTTAACTTGCTTGGTTTCAGATTGCTGTTCATTGAAAATTAATAGTAAATGTATACCTGATGACCAGTTACATGGGTAATTAGCCCTTTAAGATCATCAGCTAAAAGTTTTTTAATGTTCAAAACGTAAGACATAACGAAGGATTCATAAAATAAACTAGTTTATATTAATTCAAGAACTGCTAAAATATATTTAAGCTGCATGATAGTTATTTACAGAATAACTCAAATTAAAAATAACAATCTCCCGCCTTTGAGAAAAGCAAAACTATCGTTCACGAGTGTTTCATACTTATCAATTGGAAGCTAGAACCAATGGTTGCTAAAAGAATGAAAACGTTGGAATTAAAGTTAGCTACAATCATTATTAAAATCATCAGTATATAATCACTAACTACAGAATGAAAAAATAATACTCTAATAAGGAAGAGGAACAAAAATTATAATAAAAATACTCTGTCTCTAGCTGAAATGTCTTGTTTGGTTGGTGGTTTGAAATTTTTTCAATAGACTTAAAATTGAAATATCGTTAGTTTCCTCTAAAATGATCCTTTCGACACCACTACATTAAATTAAAGAATGTGAAAAATCGCATTTTTAGAATGAATTAATTTTATTAACAAACCAGAAATATGTACGCAAAGTACAATGTTAATATGGTCGGTATATAATACAAATTATTAGCTTAAAGGAAGTTAAAGCTAAAACACTTATTTGCTGTTTTTTACATTACATACTAAAGTTAAATAAGAATCACCTAGATATACATTATTCAATTGATCAATCGGAAATTAATCCTTTTTATTCCAGCAAAGCATTCGATTCTATTGCTCCTGAGATTCTCCTGCTCAAACTCTACAACTTATCCATATTCTATATCACTTTAAAATAGTTGTGTTCCTTCTTATCCAACAATCTCATCTGAGATTATATCCAAGAGATGACCCTTGATAAATATATATATGTTTGTTATTCCCTACTTCACCTTTTACTGGCTATACGGAGCTTTCCCGGGCCAGGGGGTGAGGGCGGAGAATTTAATCTCCTCTGGCATCGGGATGCGAACTCATACTGTTTACTGTTATCTGGTTACCGGGCAACTCTGTGCACACGCGTTAGCTCACTCCGCCCTCCTACCCTTGATAAACCTCCTTCATATCTTCTTTTCTTCACACCGTGGTGTCCCTCAGTACTTTCGCCAACCCTTTTTTTTTCTTTTTATATTAATGATGATTCCGATTCCATCCAACATTCCTGGTAAAATCTTTGTAATGCCGATGTTCTACTAAGCTATATTTCCATTCTACTTATCTCGTTAAGACATACCATAGGATTTGTCATTGGGACGAGAAAAAGAAATTGCAGAATGCCTTTTCATTGTCTTCCTTCAAACATTTAATATTCCTTCTCTTTAAATCTCAAAATCCCAACTAAATATGGAATATAATCTATAAAAACCATCTATAAAAACAATTATTTGACAGCTAGGTCATGAGAATTCATTTTATTCATTTCATAAGAGTTCATTGTTTTTCATCTAATCGAAATCGGTGCCATAATAAAGATAATTTTTTATTTAATTTCACACATAGTTAAAGATTAATAGATTTGTTACTGTTATTTTTCAAATTTATTTATTTCTAGTATACTACATGACAAGTTGCTAGATTGAAATTTTTAAGAATTTTTCTTTCACTCTTTATTTTTTATATAGTGATTGTGCAGTGCGTCCAAACAGTTTGCAAATATAAATAGTGAGTAATTATATATATATATATATATATATATATATATATATATATATATATATATATATATTTTTTTTTTTTTTTAACATAATATGTTCATAAATCATATTATAAAATGTTGGTTCCTAGAGTATGAGGCAAATAGATCTGCCTGTGGTAATAATTCACACGCTACATTTCACCGGCGTGGTTTCATAATTAATATGTTTATACCCAGGAGCGGGGTGGCCGGCAACCCAATAATCGAGTTACAGACAACAAAATAATTACGAGTTCTCTTCCCTGTGCCGGAGTATCTTTTGACTCTGGCATTAATCTCTCTGGCCCGGGAAAACCTTCGTGTAGCCTAAAAGCTGAGGAAGGGGAGAACAAAAAAAAAAAAAGTTTATACTTATAAATTTGTAAGAAACTTTTATTTTTTCTTTCTATATTTTTTAAAGGCTTTGAATCCGTACAATCGTTGCAAAAGGCACCAACACACTGCAAAATACATTTGTATGCCAATTTTCAACTCATTTAGTTCAGCAGTTTGGGCTGTAGGACCATCAAAGGCCAACAAGAACTTCATAAAAAAAAAATGTTTTTTTTTCGATGTGTTATAGTTCGGCTTCCCCTGATTCTCGTTCCATTAACACAATGGAACATCATTTACCTCAATGGAATATGTAATTATATAAAAGTAATTCGTATTTGTCTGTTATAAAAAAAAAAAATCATCTATTCTGTTTGTAACGAAGTGTGACGCAACTGTCATGTGGCAGAAAGAAGCAACTCTAATGCAATAATAATGACATTTTTTTAGAATGAAAATTCAGTCAATCATACAAGGTCGTTTTATTTCATTCATCTACGGAACCAAATCGTACCTACATATGTAAGCAAGTTCCTTTTAGAAGATATTCAAAGCTTCAGTTTAAAGTGACTTTATAAATGTTTGTACCCAAATTTATTTAACTTTTGTTTTTTTTAATCAGTCAATGTGAAAGAACCAAATTAAAGAATTGTTTTTGTTCACACCTTAATCAGTACGTATGAACAAAGTTTTTATATATACATATATTCGGAAAAGATCATATTAATATATAAATAGGCGTTTTTCCTCAAATTACTTTTGCTCCTCTGTTACTTAACCTATTTTCTTTTTGGTTTAGTAGCTCTTGGCGAGCTTTAATGTTATCAAAAAATAAAAATTGTAAATAGTATATATAAATTAGTCAGTTCATCCCCTAATATCCGAAAGTTCATCACTGATTACTTTGAATATTGACACTACGTTGCAATCAAATTCAGGACTGTTTTTATATACATTTTATTACTATCTGGCCTTTCGCTTCGAAATGACAAACGAAAAATCTGTGTCGCTTTAGACTAGCGCCAAAACAGCTGTTACGATTTTAATGAAACTTGGATTAAGTCTTCTCTTTAAAGTCCTTTTAATTTAGGCACAGAGTATAGTAAACATATTTCTCCGAAAAGGGGCTGAAAAAATTAAGATGGATTAAGAATTTTATTTGCGAATAACTCAAAAAGTACATAAATGGTATTGCATTGTGCATTTTAGGTACATATAAAAGGGTTTGTACGAATATATAAGAGTAGAAAAAAAATTGTTGGAGACATCCAAATTCATTCATGTTTTTCTCAAATGTTCAATAATGACTATGGCCGAATATCGACCACTTGGTGAACACTAGTAAAACGAAAAAAAAAAGGAATATATATTTTACATTTAATCAAATAATTCAAAATCACTTGAGCCACCTGCATTTCCACTGTTATAAGGATCTTTGGAAGTCCGTTGTTTCAACTGTCTCTTCAACTGCCTTATCGTTACTTTTTTGATGGCCTTCACGAGACCCAAGTACCGAAATGCTGCTCCTTCCACGTGGAAAACAAGGAACGGTGCTAAAACCGGTAATCGAACTTGAGGTTAGAAAGTTACACACAGTTTAGGAGCATTGCCGAGATGGAGGATTGGCCTCTAGTCCCAAAATGGAGCAAAGCCAGTTTGTCGAGCTTTGGGGGCATCTGTGAACGTCAACTTAGAAGTTTCCATTGACTGTCTGGTTTGAAGGGATGAATTAATGGTGGACTTTACTAAGGCATTACTAATTGAACGCATATATCGATATTCAATGTCACAGATATTATAAGTAAAAATTTAAATAAGGTTTAAGAAAAGTCTAATCTATTTCTAGGCAATTTTTTGTAAGTGAACATCAAACAAATATATAGATAAGGTATAACACTAGCGGATCCAGAGAAGGCGAGAATAAAATTTATCTTGAAAAAAGTTACCAAGCAACCAGAACTTTTATTATTAAAATTCTAAATTGAAATGTTAATTGTATTAAACAATTCATTTTTATTTATACTTCGTACCAAAAAATAACGAATAATTAAAAAAAAACTGAATATTTATACTAAAAATTCTTCATTTATTGGCAAAATATGAAAAGATTGTAGCTGAAAGTAGTTGCTATAGTGCTTTAAAACCTTGTAAACTATTTTTATTTGAATTTGTGGAAAAAGATATGCAAAAAGTCCTGGTTTATGTTCATAGTAGTCTATTATCTGTAAAGGAAATTCGATGGCCCTTTTATGGCAAAATACTAGATGTTTCACAAATGCGTCCCTCTCTCTCTCCCCAAAACGAAGTGCTTGCTTCAATTTTATTTTTTATTCATCGATAAATATTAGGCTATGAAAAACGTAAGAATTCTCGAATAAAAAAAATAGGTCACAGCTCTTAACATTAATGAAGTGACGCAATGATTTTTCCGTAGATGAAAATAAGATTTTCGAAGCTTGAAAAAAGATTGCTAGAAGTTATTAAATATTGTGAATAAATGACCCGGGGTGCCCATCCTCCCTAAGGTCAATGGCGCAAGAACCTACCGCCTCCCTCCTCCGAAAATTTTGAATGCTCACCTTTTCTTAAAAACAGCTAAGATAAAATTAGAAAAATCATAGATCGTATACAATCACACTTGCTGCGGTATGTTCCATGTTTTTCCTCTTGACGGAAAATTTATAACTCCGATTTGTCTCTCCAAAAAATTCTAAAACCGGTCAAAATATGCCGAACTCAAAATTACGAAATATAAATCTCAACTATGTTTCTCCTAAAACAAACATTGGAACCCACTTTCCTCCTTCGATTGGTAAAATTCTTTTCAACATTAAACTCATACTATAGTTATTAAATGCTAAATATAATTTTTTTCTATGTTGGACGGATGTCTAAAGTAAGTTCACAGCCCTTGAGCCAGGAACCAAAAATCAACCTCATCGCAGGTGTAAATTATGAAAGTTAATGTTATTTTGAGTAAAAAGAATCTTGTCTCCCGTTCCAAAGCCGCTGCTTTCAAAAATGGCAGCTGATTTAAAGAATATTAGGCCAGTAATTTGAGGATCAAAATGAGAAATCTATTGCGAAAAATGTGAGAATTTTTTTTTATTTTTTTAACTAGTATATTTCAATAATATGGGTGTGTTTC